CTCATGACACGCGGAGTAAACACGAAAAACAAGAACGGTAAAAAGAAAATTGCCCGATACAGCTCAAACCAGCACGGGCGGCGGCGGCGGCAGACGCGCCAGCGGGCGCCCCGCGAAGGGCGGCCAGGGCACACGGACCACCAGGCAGCGGCTGCCACCCAGCGCCAACCACCGGCCCCCCGCCGACGACCCGCAGCGACCGAGACGTCCCGCGAGCGCAGGCCGACCAGAGAGTGCTGGAGAGATTGGCCGGCCAATAAGGATGGGTAAAGAAATCTAGGATGTAGGTTGGTTGTGTGCGGAGGGAAGATTCTGTGACAGAATATTCGAGACGTTGCCCCACTTGGACAAAAACTTGTCAGTAGACTTATGCCTTAAAAAGAATTTACTTTCATTTTCAGCCTCTCTTTTAAGTATGTGATGAAAATGATGTATGCTGGGAATCTGAGTGTTATGTCTTGCCCTAAATATTACTTGTTTTGCTAATGTGAATATTAATATATTTATTTCGCTTTCATCCGCTAGCCTTGGAAATATCCACGACTGCACTGAGATATTTACTATAAAATTGTATTCTTTTCGAAAGTATGCTACTATATCTTTTATAAAGTCTTTTACTATTCTACATTCCCAAAGTATATGACATAACGTTTCATCACGCTCGTTGCAAAAAGTACAAACTGCACTTTCTGCTTTTCCAATACGATACAAAAAAGTGTTTGTAGATATTATTCTATTTATTATACGATAATGGAACGTTTGTAAGTATGTGTTTCTAGTCGCATGGCGAATATCATACATCGTGCCCTCATGCGTACACCCTATATCTCTATTCCATTTACGCTTAATATGATTTTGCGTTGACTGGTTTGTTTCTCGTTTTAACAGGGCAGAAACGAATTCATTATATGCTAAGCGTGAAGTGTTTGTTTTCTGGGAGAGTAGCGCTATTTTATAAGGTATTATTGGGTAAATGATTTTACAGGCAACAACAGTATTATCCACATGATGCGGTATACTTCTGGTTAAAGATTCATAGCATAGAAACGACATTTTGATGTTAAAGGTTTCACTTAGAGTTCGTTGTTCTAAAAATGATCCGCTATCCTTAGAATACAAATCTGCAACAAATCTCAAACCCTTTCTATCCCAATCTTTTACAATGCTCGTTTGGAATTTGCTGTGATCTGAATACCACAGCTTGTCCGTCAGAACGTTTTCTGGTGTTGTTCGGAAGACCGCACAAAAATCCGCCCAGGCGTTCAGCACATCTTTCCAAAATGTATTACGTAATCTATGATTCGAGATGTTTCTCAACTTCTCCGTGCCGTAGCAAACTAGTTCACAAATAGGAGGTAAAGTTTTCTTGATTATGTTAGCCCATACAACATCAGATGTTGACCAATATAGTCTTTTTATCCAGTTAACTTTTAGGCTCTTTATAAACGACCTAATATCGACCATTTTCAAACCCCCGTGATCGTAATCTTGTACCAACTTGTTTCTTTTAACTTTATCAGGACCATCGTTCCAGATATATTTGAACAATATATTATTAATGTAAGAAATGTCCTTTTCGTTTGGGGTTGGCAATGACGATACAATATGTACTAGTTTAGAAATAACCATTGATTTTACAACTGTTATCTTTCCTATCAAGGTGAGGTTTCGTCGCCTCCATTGGGCTATTTCCTGTCTTACTTTAGGTAATACTTCAGACATATTTTTTTCCACGATGGTGTTGGTTGTATTGCAAAAGATTATTCCCAATACTTTCAGTTCGCTTACTTTCTGCAACCCTGACATGTTCAAAAACGAACAGTCAACTGTTTTGCCGATTTGAAGACATTTTGTTTTATCTATATTAACACGTAATCCAGATACTTTATGAAATATGTCTAGTTCATTTATTACCGCATTTATAGATTCCGGTTCCGCGCTTGAAAATACTATTAAATCGTCAGCGTATTGCGATAATCGTACTTCTAATCCTACGCCTATGGGTATCCCCTTCATCTCCCTCGACTGCATTAGTTGATTTGTTAGGGGCTGCATTATCATATTAAATAAATATCCAGATACGGGGTCTCCTTGTCGTATACCTCTCTCCATGTTGATTTTGGGACCTAAATATCCATTTAAAAGAATCCTAGAAAAGTTGCGAGAGTTTAGGTAAAATGTTTGGATCATATGAGCAAAATGTGGCCCGAAATTATAATAATTGAGAGCTTCTGCTAGGAACTCCCACGACACCGTGTCGAAAGCGGCTTCGAAGTCAACTGCCATTATGATACCGGAAGAGGATGAAGCATTCACTGTTCAATTACATCGTACACTAGTCGCGTGTTTTCCCCGATATATCGTCCCTTAATGTATGCCGTCTGAGTTGGGGATATCAAGTAATTCATTATCTTTTTAAGTCTATTAGCGATGGCTCCAGATATAATTTTGAAGTCAACATTAAGTAAAGATATGGGCCTCCATCCTTTTACGGAATCCCTTGGCTTGCCCTGTTTCGGAATAAGAGTTACTACGCTTTCTTGGTGAGACATAATTGCACTGTTATTTACCAGACCTTCTTTAAACGCTCGAAAGAGGAATATGCCTAACAGTTCCCAAAAATGTTTGAAAAAATCTGATGTAAAACCATTTGACCCCGGTGACCTGCCTTTTTTCATACTCATTAAAGCTGTTTGTAGTTCTTGTAACGATATTGGAGTGTCTAGAGCGATCCTTTGTTCGTCGGATAGCACTCGCTCGATGTGTTTTTCAAGGTATTCTTTTGTATTGTGCTTATTTATATTTTTTCGGTATTTTGTTTGCAAATGTTTTGAAAGATGTTCAAGAATATCTTTGTTGTTTGTTATTTGCCTATCACCGTCTTGCATGGCAAGAATTGAATTTCTCATTGCGTTCCTCTTTTCTAAGGAGAGGAAATACTTCGAACATTTTTCCCCTTCTTCGAACCAGTTAACTCTGGACCGTGTTATTAATCCTTGTATTTTGGGTAATCGCATCTGCTCTAATTTAAGTTTCATCTCTTCTAATCGCTTTAAATTTTCTTCTGTTTCGTTAGTATTGAAACGAGCATTTAGTTCGTCTATTTCATTTAATATTATATTTTCCTCGCGTCTGTTTTTCTCGCCTTTTGTTTTGAAAATCGTACGGTTTCCCCTCGTATCATCATCAGTAATGTCTCATAGAACAAGCCACAGGTCACTGTGAATTGAATATTGTCAAAATTGTTTGGGTCTGATATATATTCATTGTTATAAATTGGTAATGCATATTGCTTAACTGTGTTTATTGTTACTTTTCTGATAAGTTCGTTATATTCTTGATCTTCAAGGAGTGCGGCATTAAACTTCCAAAGACCAGGGCCTCTTTTCATAAGTGGCTCTTTGACGTTTAATGATACTATGTTATGGTCTGACCTATAGCCAGCGTGAATGTTGGATGATGCAATTGTACTGACAAGGTGATTCTGAATATATATTCTATCTAATCTACCGTACTTTAATGGATTCTTCTTAGCCCAAGTATATCCGCTGCTCAAAGGGTTCATCTCTCTCCACGAATCAATCAAGCTAAAGCGTTCAATGATATTTGAAAATGCACACTTTGCAGCCGGGTTGTTTTGACGAACATAGTTCGAATCACGCTGGAGATCTGCGACAAAGTTGAAATCTCCTGCGATAATCAAATTATTCGTTGGCAACTCTTCAAGCTTATTGTATAATGTATGAAAAAAAGCTGGTCGATCATCGTTGGGTCCGTATATCGCGACGAGTATATAGGTGTTGAGAAATATAGTGCACTCAAGTATCACGAAGTTTCCTTCCGTGCAATATTCTTCATGAAGTATGCTGTGCTGTACCTTTGTCTTAAATATAATCGATACTCCTCGGCTGTTATTTGTACCAAAGGAATGATAACAGTTGCCACCCCAAACGGTATTGAAACATTGTGCTGTTTTTCTGGTGAGGTGTGTATCCTGAATAAAATATATGTCAAAATCAAGATTTTTAAGAAAGTTTATAACGTCTCTCCTTTTCTCCTGACTCCCAAGGCCCCTACAATTATAAGTCATAAACTTAAGGTCTGCCATAGCTTAGCGACAAACTTAGAGTGAAGTGTGTACTTACTTGGGTGAACGGTGTGAACGGTGCTGTTGCGCACGGGAGAGGGTAATGAAGCGCTGGTTGAGAGGAGCAGGAATGCTGGATTGGTATGGAAGGAGCGCGAGCCGGACGTCCCAGCCGCCGAGACCGCCAGCAGGAACCACAGCGGCGAGCGCGGGCCGCAGGAGAGATGACGCCCAAGACGAGCACCACCGTCTCCACCGCCGTCCCAGCAGTCGCCGGCCCCGACGCAGAGCCCGCAGGAGCGCCCAGGAAGGCGCCGCCGCCGCGCGCCGCGCCGATCCGGCCTTGCCGCGTACAGAAAGGACTTCCTGAGCCCGACTCGCGTTCCACGACAACACCTACCAACAACAAAGAGGCACAGACAGAAAACAGAAACACAATATAACATGCATGCACAAACATATGATTGGGACAACGACCATTTCTCAGTGTATCTGCTTGGCGCCAATGGGTTGTAAACTTCTTAAGCATTACAAAGCGAGGTGACCGTAGACAAGACATAAACAGACTACAGACAAACAAACGACGGCTCGGAACTACTAGCAAAGTAGCCAAAGGTGGCACCATACGAGAAAAAAAAGCTCTAGAGCCTGCCTTCATTTAGAAATACTCTCTTATATCCTTACTGCTAGGGCGGTTCCGTGTCCCACCCGAGCTTCGGGAGCTCACCGAGGCACGGGCATCGCGCCCTCGAGAAGAGGTCCCCCCGGGTACCTCCCCACCACCCCTTCCCACGCCCCCCACCCTGCCCCCGCCCCGGTTCGGCGACACCTCAGAAAGGCTCACCCCACCACCAGGGCCATCAACCGCCGGCCGCAGCTCACCGGGCGACGACGCCCCGCCCATCCCTCTCACCGCCTCATCCTGTTGACTGCTCCCGCCGGACGCCCGAGCTGTCATCGGCGGCGGGGCAGCCCCTGACGTCACGTCCATGGGCGTCTCCAGATCATCAGTCCCGGCAGGGCGGGCGGCCGCGGGGCGGACACCAGGAGACACCGAAACATCCCGAGCCCCGGCGAGCCCGCGATCGCCGCCGTCCGCCGACCGGTCAGCCGCAGCGGCGGCGTCAGCCGGTGATACCGGCTCCAGGGGCGGCGAAAGCCGCACCAGACTGGTGGGCGTCACCCGGGCACAGTCCAGCAGCGATGATGAAGTCGAGCCGCCACGGCCCGCCACGACGTCGGCGCCGGCAGGCACCGAACAGGAGACGGGAGCAGTAGAGTCAACGGCTCCGCCCGAACGCCGGGTCTCCAGCTCCATCACACCGCCGAGGTCCGACGGAGTGCGTCCTCTCTCCAGGGCGCTCCTCTCCTCCTCTCTCTCCGTGGCTGGGTCCAGCCGACCTCTCTCCGAGGCCGGAGCGCGACCCTGGGTGGGGCGGGGAGGGGCACTCGTCTCCGCCAACTGACGCACCGCCTCGGGGTCTACGATGCGAATGGGTGCACAGTCGCGTGACCGACACACTAGAATGTCTCCGGATCTCGTGAAGACGGAGAAAATGATCCCCTCCTTCTTCAGTTGCAGTAGATCAGAGAACAGTGCCTGACGGCGTGGAGTGAGAGACTCTGAGATGAACAGTCCAGAACCCCTTAGCTTGGTCTTAGTCCTAAATAGGACGTCTCTATCAGACCCGCGCGCAGCCGTGGTAAAGTCAACTAAAACCTTACCATTCTTCAGCCGGATCATGGCTTTCACCTGAGAAGAGTCCAGTGAGTGCCTCAGGTGCTGCTGCACCCGGGACCGAATCAGGTTTGCGGCGTCCTCCCGGCGAGTCAGCGTCTTTATCGCCGGTCCAGAGAAGATGAGAGACGTCCGCCGCTCCTCCTGCTGCCGCCGGTCCTCACTTAGCTCCATCTGCTGGAGGCGCCGCCTCAGCTCCTTGGTCTCCCTCTGCAGCTGGATGATGTCCATGTCCGCTGAATTCTGTCGATCCGACACCGCCTTGAGGGAATCCATCGCGAACGACAAGGACTCCTCTATAGCCATAAGCCGTCGGTCGTTCGAGTCCCGTATCTCCTTCACGCACTTCACATTTTCTTGTGCGATAAACTCTTTAAGTTCAGCACAGATGTCTATATCACTTTGCTCACCCTGCGCTGGGGAGCACACTTTCCGCCTCTTGGGCATGACTGGCCCGCACACGGACACTGGCTATCAGCTGACCAGACTCGCTCGTCCAGACGGTCGCGCACGCAGAGCACCGCTCGCGCGTCCGACCCGGCCAAGGTCAGCCGGCCGACTGATTTTTTTTTTTTTTTTGTGGCTTTGCGTCTTCGACATCAGCCTACCCCGTCAACTGCTTTGATATAGGTCATAGGCACAAGTGCAAAGTTGACGAACACACATATCAAAAGATGACAACACACAATGATAAAAACATGCAAAGTAGGTAAGTACTTGACGTCTCCTGCAAGCGTCTTGGATAATATCGATGATATCAACAAGCTATAAAACACATTCAGTACGCATCACACTAACCTGGTGTTCTTGCAGAGAGGTGACGTTCCCCCGCCAATTCCGCCGTCTCCGTCGAGTCTGGACCGTCTCCGGCCCTGCCGCGCTTTCTGTCTCTCGCCCGCTCAGAAACCCGCCCACCAATCAGCGTCGAGAGGTTCGCCGTCACAGCCAATCAGCGCACAGCACGGAGCTGAGCTATAGGTAGGTAAGACGTGGACAGCCGATGGATGCGGCTAAAATTGTGACATCCCTTGATTATATTAGGGGAAAGTGGGGTAAGACGGTCAAGGTAGGTAAGACGGGCACCCCCTCTGCAGACCAAACCAATAGCGCTACGAGCGAGAAAAATTAGGACCAGAATAGCCTTTCCCACTACACACCGCCATTGAAGTCTGGTGAATTTGTGTTCGGTCAATAATCTTTTATTTTGATTTCTTTAAAACACTCATTTCATTGAAAACATTCATAATGTATTGTGCAAGCTTTTGTGTGCAGCACTATAGAGTTAAAAACTGGCAATCACTTGTGGCACACTCATATGCCTCCAGTGTTCATTCACCGCGGATTTGCTTTGTCTGCATCAAATTGTCCACAGAGAAAAATCGTGCTGAACTTCTGACATTGAGTTTGGGGTAAGACGGGCAACTATGAATCCGATGGGTCTGTAATGGTAAAAATATTTTTGTTGCTGTAGGAAAAAAGAAGCATTTCTGATAAGAATATGTTCGATTCCGATACTCACAGACATGTTAGCAATATTCCTTCGGCACAGTTTATTCTCGAATAATGAATGTGAAAAACGGCTCTACATGGCTTCTGAACTAGGGCCTATATACGAGTATACGCCTTCTGCACGAATCTCGTATACTGCCATTTCCGAAGCACTTGAGACCAACGAGCGACTGTATCAATGCGGCTAATCTCGGGCATTTGCTGCGAGCTGTGCTGGTCGGTGAAAGAAGCTGGCCGTCTTGCCCTACCCATGTGACCGTCTTACCCCATGGAGTGGGGTAAGATGGGTTTTTGCAAGGTTTTGCAAAAATAGCTGCAGTTTATTTGTTGAGTCAGGTCTAAGTCTCATCTTCTGGCAAATGGAAGTAAAATGTCTGTAAAAGGTTTTCACTCAGTTTCCCGTTTCTATGATGTTTCTAACCGGCCGAAAAATGGCTCCAAAGTTAAGGTGCCCGTCTTACCCCACTTTCCCCTACATGTATTCATGGCGTTGATGACGAACCTGCAGAAAGTGCTGATGGCTAAAGGTAGACCATAGGCAGAAAGAGGGCACTATATTACCAACATTTTTTCTCAGTACCTTACCATCAGCACAAAGCTTCGATACTTTTGACTTTGAGCACGTTTTCAGTTCACTTCTCACGAAACTACATAAAAAGTAGAAGTGGTGCTCTGTGGGGAAGCAGCTAATAGTTGCTCTTTATCAGATCAGAAAAACTACATCGTCATTTGCAATGCCGCTTATTATCATTGCAGGGCATCATTTCATAGAGCGAGTCCGTAGGTACGTACCTTACGGCGGTTTAGGTCTTGTATTGCAAGCGCATGTGAAGCGATGACGATAGTTTGAATCGTTGAATTCATTCATCTTGCAAGCAAGAACAGAAAGGAGAAGGGGAAATAAGTTTATCGCTTCACATGCGCTTGCAATACAAGCCCAAAAAATGGCGTGAGTTACGGACTCGCTTTATGAAACGAGGCCCAGATCGCTAAATTTCTGCAGCTTCTAAGGCGTGTGCCTTAAATCCTAACTCATGGCATGTCCTTGAATATTGCCCAACGCGGATCCGAGCTAACTCCACACCGACGGGAGGGGGTATCTGCCCTCCCCTCTTAGGACCTTTTTTAACTTAGTTTGAATGTTTGAATGGACGGATTTAAAGAGTTTGAGCCCACTGCTGCGAAAGCCCCGACATCGATCGGTCGGGCAATTACGGGTAACGGAAGAATTTAGACGCCAATTTAATGTGCCCATCAAATCCGGACACCGCCTGTCCCACGCAACTGACTGCGGCTGATCCCACCAACCGCAGACCATCCCCGTCATGAGTTCCATAATGTCGAGCCACGGGACGGCTCGAGCCCGATCTCTCAAAACCAGGAGTCAACGCTCTGCCAATAGTGCCACGGCACAGACTCTAAAACGACCTCGCAAACGATAGGTACGAGACAAACGGTAAAACTAAACGGTTAGCAGTAAAAGGCATTGAATACAAGCGAACAAGGGCTACGATCTTTACTAATGTAATTTTCAGGTCAGGTCAAAAATGACGTCACGGGGGTTAACATAGCCAAAATGGCGACTTGGGAGGACAAGAGAGCTTTCCGCAATTAACTTTTGATCTAACTATGTAGTAAATCTCGAACAACATATTAGCACCATTCGGATCCACTCATCTATGCACATCGAATATATACCTACGTTTTGACCTCGAAAGGTTAAGGTCAAAACTTGGCCTCTGGGCAGGTGAAGGTCAAGTGTGGCTGGTAAAATGCATATCATTCGATGCGTCTTGGAAAGCTGATCACAATGAGAGTTGAGACCGTACGCCATTCTCTTGTCTTTGAGAAGTTGTTAGCGAAAAGGCTTTGGTGGCCTTTGCTGACGTCACATGACGTTACAGATGTCAAATATAGCAAACAGTGGATCTAGTCAGTCGGTCATGACTCATTAATGGTGTCATACTCGTACATGACAAAATTGGCCATTACGACGCGCATTTGTGAAAACTTCGGCGTGTGACACCCCCCCCCCCCCCTCCCCCCATATCTACGAGTTATAATGGAGAGGTCAAGACATTGAACTAGCCTAAGTTCATCAATAAAAACAATCCGAGACTTTAAAAGTGTAGGTGTCTATGGCCTGATTACATCCTGCAATTTTCAAAAGGCTGGGTCATTGACTGCATGACCGAGACAAGGCTGTTTACTCTCGTACGGTGACAAGGGTGTAAGAGGATGCGTTGAGATCGGGTCAGTCACAGTGATCTGGGGAGCTAACCCTGGAAAGTGGGAGGTCTTTGCTTGCACCCAATATGTGAAACTGATGAGGAAGCTAGCATGCAAAATTCCGTGGTGCCACAATGGTGCCACATGCCGTGGTTTTCCCGCTATTTACGAAAAACCTCCCCCGAAAACCTCGTCGGCGCGCGGTTTACGCGAGAGAGAGAGAGAGAGAGAGAGAGAGAGAGAGAGAGAGAGAGAGAGAGAGAGAGAGAACCATCATTCAGTGACTTTTCGCGTCATTTGATCAGTGATCTTACGGAGGTCAACAAAGGCTGCTTGCCTCTTAGCAATTTATCCTCACTGGGCCAGGGGGTTCATGCAAACCCCCTAAGGTTTTCGCAAACTGCGTAAAAATGGCTGCGCGTAGCGCCAACAAATTTTATATAACCTAATGAGGCATCCCTTTTGTCACCTTCCCTGAAAATTTCAGGTCTCAGTCAATTCAGGTCAGGTCACCAGGTCACCAAAACCGGTACAAAGTCAGGGTTAAGTTGGACTAACTATTTTAGCGGAAACGGAATCATCGAGTTTTCGTTCATAGCGTAAAAACCGTGGGATTTAGCCCCACCAATTTTCAGACACAACTTGGAGCAGATATTGGACACGTGTCCTGGGAGTTTTGTGTTCCCGTGACCTCAGGTCAGGTCACAAGGCCACAAATACTGGTACATTGTCAAAATGGCACTGAATATACACTATTTTGTCAATGGAATCTAGAGTTGTTCATCGATTTGATGCAAACTACCAGGGTATACTAAGCTCACCGAGTTGTATAACCCACATACGAATTACGATGCGGGCGATTTTCTCTTTTTTTGCGTCGTTTGCGGTGTTAAATTTGTTTGCGGTTGGCGGCCGCTTATTCGTTGTTTTTTTGCGGTGTTTGCTTTTGGCGGCGGGCGGGCGATTTTTAAGCGTTTTCGGTTGGCGGTTAGCGGGCGTGCGATGCGGGCGGTTTTATTGTTTTGCGGCGTTTTTGCGTTTTTTTTTATTTGCGGTTTGCGGCGGGCGGGCGTTTGTTTATTTTTTGCGACGACGTTTGCGTTGGCGTTTCGGGCGTGCGTTTTGCGCGTTTTGCGGTGTTTGCGTTTTGCGGCGGGCGGGCGTTTTTCACAATTCAAAGTCCAAACCTTCGGGCCACAGCGCTCCTCGAAAAGCGCTGCCCTCGAGTATAACCCACATACAGGTTTTACAAATTTGGATGACCTGAAGTCATCTAGGGCCTAGGGGTCACGACAAGTTCTAAGAAAATTTGTCCGAATAGCTCCAATAGTAAAAATATGATCCATTTCAACATTTTTGTGTTGTAATCCCTCAGTTTAGATCTATTTGAGATGAATTTGGTGTTTTCTTACTTCAACAACACTTCTGTCGGGTCATCTGAGTTCAAATGAGGTCAAATTACGTTTTTGCTAATAACTGGGCCCACAATGGGGCTAGAGCTTTATAAATAATGTCGTTGTGTTCCTTTTGATCAGCCGAATCGAATGATATGCGATATGATTCAGTTTGGTTAAATTGAACTAAAATGATTAATTTAACCCTCGCCGGCTGAGGGGGGATAAGTTTTTTTGCAATAGCTCAAAGGGGGCACGGTGTCCCGGTGCCCTCCCTGTTCCGCCGCCTATGGGAATACCAATCAATTTGTAATTTTTGGATACTCTGAAGTTATGAGTTATCAATCATCAAACTGTTCGACAGTGACTGGAGAAAATCAGTCAGCGCTGACTTCGTCAGCATGACTGAGATTCGACAATTCCGTATAGTTCAACGTTTTGCAGTGCCGCTTATTCTCGCCTTTCAGATTAATAAAAGTACTCAATGGTACGAAGCATCTCATTATTGGTTAACACTTATTATCTTCTTTTTTTTGCTGTTGTATTCGTAGGAATGTTGTGTGAAGTAAATATATTTTCAACAAATAGCATCATGTTTCTTGCTTAAAATTCTGACATGATAGTTATCACACAATGCATTCGATGCGCTGCCAAACTATCAAAGTAAGCAGAACTATCACTGCACAGTACGACATTATCAATAGATACACTAATCTCGAGACTTCTCTCTATCAACAGTACGCGAAGCGAGTAGATTCAACGGGCACAACATATAAAGCACCTCTCCTAATGCGACGAGGATTGGCACCCAATAGGTGTAGACTTGCATACGGCACATTACATTTCTGCACATACGTTATTCCAGCACAAGACACAAGGTCGTTTACTAGAAGGATTGTACCGTCCACGAGACGCCATATATTCGGGTGACGAGATAAAACCAGCGAGGACGAGACGAGACGAGACAGGCGTGCATACACCATTCGACAGAAGGACGCAGCCAAACGCGCTCGTAGCGAGCCGCACAGCGGCGCTGCATAGTAGTCTCGTAGTCCCAATCTTCACTCACTCCGGAGTCCGTTCTGGTCCCGCCGTCCGGCACGAATCAGATCTGAAGTGCGCTCACTTGCAAACACCACTCCAGCAGACACCGACAAAATTTAAAAATCGTTAAAGCATTGTGTCGGCCACTGGGCGCCAATGCATCCGCACTATATTGCTGTATTCTGCATAACTGCTTAGCTCAGAGTTACTAGCCAACGAGAGAGACTGGTGTTGACTGTTACACACTTCACCAACAGAGAGAGCCAGACCGCTAGGGGTCAGGTCGAGCGGGTCCATTTCCCTCTGGGCTCCCGTCTGTCGGCGTCAGTCCTGGCCAATGTCTGTAGCGACATCGAACACTCGACAGTTGGTGACAGCGACCGACACTCGCCGACCGAGGGTGGCCGCCGGGCTACATCAGCTGGCACTTCTCCTTCAGCCGCAGGGACCCCATGGCGGAGCGCGAGCGGCCGTCCAGGTGCACGGTCATGGTGCGCGTCTTGTCCAGACTGAGCAGCTCCTGGAACAGCTGGCTCACGTTGACGTTTTTCTTTGCAGAAGTCTCCAGGAAGTTACACCGCCACATCTTTGCCTGTGAAGACAGAAGAGTCAGGTTGTCGCGTGCAAAGCCGTTCAGACGCGTTGATTTTCTTTGGCGTACCCTATTCCATATGCGCGAACGAATGACTTGCAGCTGGCTTTATGGGTATGATATCCATATGTGCTTAAGCGTGCACGTTTTTGTAGTATGAAATGTCATTAGCCACCGATACCTTATCACTTACCGGGTACTAATTGCAACGGGTTTTTGTAATATTAATCGTGCATACCTCCTTTAACCCGCGCGGGGCTGGGGTCTCCAGCCGAACGCGCGGGGCTGGGGGGGGGGGGGGGTAAATTTTACCCCCCCTGTTATCTCCCGAACTAATGGTCCGATTTGGAAAATTCAAACGCCAATCGAAAGCTCTCATCACGAACTACTTAAAACATGTACTTAATTTAAAGTTTGAGGTCAAGGTCAAGGTCAGGTCAAGGGTAAAAATCTCAAGTTTCTACAGAATCGGCCTTGCACCGTAGTTGCCGAAGAATGGAGTCATGGACTGAGACTGATCGCCCAAAACGTGTTCTTAGGCTACCAAGACAATATTAGTTGCATACAATATCATTCAGAGGTCAAGGTCAAGGTCAGGTCAGGTCAGGTCAGGTCACCAAAAAACAAAATATAGAAAAGGGCATGTGCGACACATGTTTTATGGGTCATTTTACTCATAGAATTCAATAGGCACACTCAATAAGTGATATGGACCACCTCTGGATGAATTTCAGGTCGAGGTCAGGTCAAGGTCAGGTCAAGTGAGGTCAAATTTTGAAGTTGGTTGTTAAGGCCTCAAAAGGTGTATATCTGATGCAGTTTTTCACGGCGAATCGAATGGTGCTATTTTTGTTTCCGTACGAGGTCTAGAACTTCCAAAAAAGTCATTTTTCAAAATTTTTGTGTGTCGTTACGTCATAAAATTTTGAATAACTCCCACATTTTTGAACCGATTCTTCTAAAATTTGATATGTAGATGCATGTAGACCACTTCTCTGACATATATTCCGTTTTTTTTTTCGATAGACTCAAAATTTTGGATTTTATAATGATTTTCCCAAAAAAATCAGTTTTTTGAAAAAAATTTAGGCCAAAATCCAAAATTTTCAAAAAACCGAGATAGCCATTTGATAGACAAAGTAAAATTACGTATAACCTTTTTTGTTACGTCTTGATTCCTTTAAAAATGAAGATGTTAGCGGCGTTTGAACTTTTGCTGTTTTTGAGGCGAAAATGGCGAACATGACGTCACTAAAACGTCAATTTCTCAAAAAAATTTCCGACGGATTTCGCTCAAATTTTCTGGGAAGGTGTCAAATTGATGTAAGAAAAGGTACTGAAAGTTTGGCGGCGCTGCGCGCCGCCGTTTTTGAGATATCGCAAAAATTCGCGAGGGGGGGTAAAATTTACCCCCCCCCCAGCCCCGCGCGGGTTAACAAACTAAACTAAAGGTAAAAGTCACTCCACTGATTGATAGGTGTAGCAATATACGCCTCTTGTTAATCATGTCTTATACTTATACTAATCTTAATCAATGTAAGTAAGCATTTACGGGTATATTGATAAAGGAAAGTCGAGCGAAAGATCACTTCAGATTTAAAGTGCTTATTAACATTAGGCCTACATTGCCTACAAGTCATATTTACCTACACCTTGCACATTGAAAACGTAATAATCGGCAGTCGAATATCATACCTGTGCCTCCCCTTCAGCTTGTGATACCTCTCGTTTGTCATTTTCGTCGCATTTGTTGCCGACCAGAATTATTGGAATACCTTGCAGATCACCCTTTACTTCCTTTATCATGTCGAATATTGATCTGTGAATTGATAGCGTAAGATATCAGCGGAACAAAGCGGAACATTTTCTCACTTCTTAATTCGTTTAGTGCTTGCTGAATGAAAGGCATTTAAATCGTTTAATTGTTTTTGAATGACCTCCTTACAAAATTATACTTTTCATTCATGTATTTTTGAATACATGAAGTGACTTTTACCTCCTTACAAAATTATACTTTTCATTCAAAAATACATGAGTGAAAAGTATAATTTTGCAAGGAGGTCATTCAAAAACATTTAAAGGAACATTTCCTCATCCAAGCGGTGCTTCATTTGTCATCGTTTTCGCAGAGCTACCCGGAGAAGGCTATCAATAACCCGTCAGAGATGGAAGCAGATCGATAGGCGTCTAAATCTGCTTAGCAAAATTACTTTATTTCTGCAGCACAAAGGCAAGTCAGCAAGCAAAAAGAAAAGAATAAGAGCACTGAAGCAACTTAGGCATGGTATTAATTTTGTGTTCTCACCCGAGCTCCTGCAGACTCTGCCGCGATGTGATGGAATAGACCAGCACGAAGGCATGTCCCTTGGAGATGGAGAGCCGCTGCATGGCCGGGAACTGGTGGCTGCCCGTGGTGTCAGTGATCTGCAGCGTGCAGATGTTCTTGTTGCAGCTGATCACCTGAACAGACAGAAGGACCTTTTTAACCTAAGCTTTTCAACCTAACGCTTTTTAACCTAACGCTTTTTAACCTAACGCTTTTTAACCTAACACTTTTTAACCTAAGCTCAAACGTTTCAATGGACGGATTGACTAGACCCCACGTGAGGCCATGCTTGTTAGTGTGGGCCCGGCCCCGACTCCTACCGTCCCATCGCGCGATTCCGAGTGACGTGATGATTTATGTACACAATTTTGACGTGCCATCAAAGTGTCAATCAACTGACTTAAACTGGCTTCGGTTCAGGGGCGGATCCAGGAAAACTCCAAGGGGAGGGTCATGAATCGAAGTGGTGCCCCTACCTATACCCAAAATTAAAAACTCAACGGATTTCGTCCACTTCATTTTGGTGGTGCCCCCATTTTCATTTTTTTTTATTTTTTTTATTTTTAGTCAGTATCTTAACTCTTAGCCACAACCACATTTACCAATTGTAAGCAAGTATATATGAATGTGCTATGTGTATATATGTTGTGGACGCTGAGTAGTGAGTACTTACCAGGAACGTTATCAGGTAAGCAAATCGTTGTCAGTCCGACGAACTTGACCCTGGCGTCTAAAGGGTCTGTCCTTGACACTTCAGGCTTGTCAGGGGCACCAAAGTCCTTCCAGGGACACCACAAACCTGTCAGGGGCACCTACGGCCTTGTAGGAGCGCCACAGGCCCGCCAGGGGCACCACAGGCCTGCCATGAAGCAGGGGCACCACAGGTCTAGCAAGTATACACGACAGGCCTGTCAGGGGCACAACGGGCCTGTTGGGCCCATGAGCACCCCTAGGGGCAGGGGCACCACAGTCCTTCCAGGGGCACCGCAGGCCTGTGAGGGGCACCAGCGGCCTAGCAGGGGCACCAGTCAACACAGGCCTGCCAGGGGCACCACAGACCTGCCAGGGGCACCAGAGGCCTGCCAGGAGCACCACCGACCTCGCAGGGGTAACTTGGGCCTGTCAGGGCCCAGGGGCACCACGGGCCTGTCGAGGGGCACTTCAGGCTTTTCAGGGGCACCATAGTCCTCTCCGGGCGCAGGGGTAGCAGGGGCACCAGAGGCCTGCCAGGGGCACTACAGGCCTAGCAAGGGCACCACTGGTCTATCAGGGGCACCACGAGCCTGTCCTAGCCAGGCATCTCAGGCTTGTCAAGGCCCAGGGGCACCACAGGTCTGTGAGGGGCACCAGCGACCTAGCAGGGGCACCAGTCAACACAGGTCTGCCAGGGGCGCCACAGACCTGCCAGGGGCACCACAGACCTGCCAGGGGCACCACAGACCTGCCAGGGGCACCAGAGGTCTGCCAGGGGCACCACCGGCCTCGCAGGGGCACCTTGGGCCTGCCGAGGGGCACTTCAGACTTTTCAGGGACACCAGTCCTCTCCGGGCGCAGTGGTACCAGCGGCTTAGCAAGGGCACCAGAGGCCTGCCAGGGGCACCAGCGGCCTAGCAAGGGCACCAGAGGCCTGCCAGGGGCACCACAGGCCTAACAAGGGCACCACGGGCCTGTCAGGGGCACCTTAGGCTTGTCAGGGCCCAGGGACACCACAGTCCTTCCAAGGGCACCGCAAGCCTGTCAGGGGCACCAGAGGCCTGCCAGGGGCACCACAGGCCTAGCAAGGGCACCACTGGCCTGTCAGGAGCACCTCAGGCTTGTCAGGGCCCATGGGGCACCACAGTCCTTCCAGGGGCATTACAAGCCTGTCAGGGGCACCAGAGGCCTAGCAAGGGCACCACAGTCCTGCCATGGACACCACAGGCCTGCCAGGGGCACCACCAGCCTTGCAGGGGCGCCTCAGGCCTGTCAGGGGCACCACGTGCCTGCCGGGGACACTTCAGGCTTGTCAAGGGCGTTACAGTCCTGTCAGGGCCCAGGGGCACCAGGCCCGTGGTGTCCCTGCTAGGCCTGTGGTGCCCCTGGCGGTCCTGTGGTGCCCCTGTCAGGACTGTGATACCCCTGATAGGCCGGTGGTGCCCCTGGCAGGTCTTTGGGCCCCCGGGCCTCAAGGGGGGGGCCATGACCCATGTGACCCCCCCCCCCTTGGATCCGCCCCTGCTTCGGTTGCCCCCAGGAGCACAGCGCTGTACCAACTGAGCTACCAATAGTCATCAATATATTCGTTCTTTTTCGGAACAATTTCTTTTGGGAGTAGACTATAGATTTGACTTAGCCAGTAACAGCTATGTTTACAACTTGAGCTGATGCAATATGATAAATTTTGTGCCTATTTGATTTGTAATAACAAGTTAAAGTGGTTACATACGTGACGCCGTCAGCTCCTACTCTTTGTCACACCGGTTTTCCGAGAGACAAATATTCACCTGCCGATATGTATCTTCGATGGTGGGCACATAGTTGTCCTGAAAGGTGCCCTTGACGAATCGGAGGACCAGCGACGACTTTCCGACTGCGCCGGCCCCGAACACCACCACTCGGTAGTCGTCACTGGGCTCAGGCATCGTGAAACCTGCCGAATATCGCAATTTGACGTCATTGGACCATAATGCAGCGTCATTGCAGCGGAAAACCGCCGACGATCTCTTGTGAATATTGAGTGGTTACAGAAGCGAACGGCTCTGGAGTCGTCCCCGACACAGCATTACTCGGGAAAACATTGATCAGTCTGGCTATTTTTGTGGAAGCAAGGCTTCCAGTAACGAGGGATATTATTTTTCAAGATTTCATTGTTAGCATGCCATGCTATCCTCGAGCGACACGAGTTCTATGGTAATATGCGAGCATCTGCATTACGGTAGGAATTGATAGCTGATCATATCGTGAACAGCAAAGCAGCTGAACAAACGGTATGATGCAAATGCGTCGCCGTCCATCGCTCGAAGGAACGCATCATCAAACTTTCAGAACTTGAATTAGACAACACAAACACACGTTAGGGTACGGCAAGCCGTTGACTCACATCCAGTTCCGGGAGGTTTCTCGCTGTAAGCTCAGCGGCGCTGGGTGGTCCAGAGGCGGCAGAGGAGAGAGGTGACGGGGGAGACGGCGGACCGTTCTCCGTCAGCCGGCACTGGCGCGATGCGGCAGACAGCTCAGCGGTCCCATCCCGACCGACGGCCTCTCAGACACTGCCAGTGAAGGCCGCGGCGGCCGACAGTCTGTCCCAGCGGCGCCGAGGGAGCGACGTCCGCCGGCCGAGCCGCCGCGCCGACCACATCGCCCCGCCGTCCGACCCGGCAGCAACAGCAGCGGAGGCGGCAGGAGTCAGCGCACCGGCCGACATCAGCCGCCACTGGAACACAGAACACCGTCAGCCAGAACAGGAACACCGTCAGAGGCGACTGGGCCGGCAATAACACGGCCAAAAACAACCACATATAGCAGGGGCCTATAGCTTAACGGTCACGGTGGGCCGCAAAGGTCCCTCAGGGTTGAAAAGAACATCACTTATACATTCAACAAGCAACATGACAAAGACAACGTCACAGACGTCCTAAAATAAAAGCCCGGGCATATTCAAACAGACAAGGAGCATTGAAGCAAGAATCATTGTTAAGGCCTGACGTGCAATAAACCATTCACGGCTAAGACACGAAACCATTATCTAGAATTACTGTCCTCATGTCACCATTGATTCGTTCGATCGTTCGATTATTTTTCGTGTGTCAAATGTCCATATACCCATTCATTGATCATTCATTCATTCATTCATTCATTCATTCATTCATTCATTCATTCATTCATTCATTCGCTCGCTTTTCCCGTTCGTTTAAAAAAACATGAAAATTATTATGCATTTATCCATTGCCTTATTCTTGCTTCTATTCATTCATGTGCATCTAACGTAGTGACTTTCTGCAGTCAGCTCTGCTTCTTTCACTTCATTACTTATTGGTATTTGCAGATAGACTCTGTAGATTGATTTTAATCTCTGGTATTTAATTGTAGATTGATTTTAATCTCTGGTATTTAATTAATTAAATCCACAAATAGCAACGTTACAAAAAAATTACTGCGGTAGTTGTGGTTTAAAGGTGGTTTAAAAATTAAAAGTATAGGAGTCATGAGAATTATGGTTAACCCTTGCCGGCCGAGGGGGGGGTGCCGCCCCCCATAGTTTTTTTTTGCGATAGCTCCGAACACGCTGGTGATAGAGAGCTGAAACTTGGCATACCTGACTTTTGATTCAAGCCGGATCTTTTGACACCAACCACATTTTTGGGTCAGGTCAGGTCACTGACCTATGACGTCATAAGTGAACCTCTGCACGATCTTCGGATGTCGCAACTTTGCAACGCCCTCACTGCCAGAGGAGATGTCACAGGGAAATAAAACTTGCAGGATCTAGTATCCATTATGAGTCTCGCAGCTTGTATATCTCGGATTTTTCCTAAAGATCATATGAGGTCAGGTCATTTTCGTGACCTCACCATTATGTCAATGGGGAAAAATGAAAACTGCTATTCTGGCGCCGGGAACGATCTCCAACTATCTCATCTCCATCTCAAGCACACAAGATCGTGATTTGATGCACTCCTTGCAAGGTTAGATGCGTCACTTTAGCAATGTTGACCTTGCGTGACGTCATTTATGACGTCATCAAGGTCATATTAGTTTTTCGTCAATAACTCCCGATCAAATTGAGCTAGCGAGTCGGGAAAGCCACCTATGGACTCAGGAAGACCTGCCGAATCGAATGATATGCGACATGACCTCTTTCGACCAATTTCGTGACCTGGGGGTGCTGACCTGACCTTGACCTGAGGTGAACACCCTAAGTTGACCTGACCCGAAAAAAGTATATCATTCGACGCGCCTTAGCGAGGCGAACACGATGCCGCCAAAATCGCGGCTCTGCGGCCGTTTTTTGCGAAGTTATTCACCAAAAACTGAACCGTACCTTCAGCGTAAGGAATGGAGGAATGGACATAACGTGAGAGGGACGGCCGGCCGATCATCAGCCAATGTAACGTTCGAGCAGAGTCTGTGCGGCGCTATAGTTAACGGTTGGGGCACTTGACCTGACCTCAGAGGTCACCGGTTGACCTAGGACCTTAAAATTGGGTACCAATCTCTACGTCTCGTAACGGCACACACGCTCGTTTTTTTCCGCGACGCGCTAGCTCCACCAGGGGCGAAACGGCGAGGGGGGGTCGTACCCGCCCCTTTCCCCCTCGGCCGGCGCGTATGTAGAAAGCCAAATGGTCCGGCGAGGGTTAAACGGCGGAGATGGAAAACTATGTACTGTAAAAAACAGTAAAGCGATACAAGAATTACTGTTTATGGTATTCCTCTGGATGAACGCTGAACAATGTGCATATCTGCTGTGTTCTAGATGGACCTCAATGTTATGCACGCATTCAATATTCATAACTGTGCGTAGGTAGATAAACGGATCCTCGCCGTACGCACGCTCTCTGTTCTAACAAGATTTTGGGCTAACACGAACCAGACCTTGAACTTATCGATTCGAGGATAGGTGCGGTCGCTCCGAAGTGAGAATCGGCGTGCTTCGACATTGAAAATGCTTTTAATTGAAATCACGCTGGTTATTGCTAGCCTACAAACAATATATTTTGAGGCGGGCCCTGACTCAAAAACCATATGTTAGCACGGCCTTTCAGACAGCATTACCCAACAGCGCCAACTCCTTATTCGGATGAGGCAAGTACCGTTGGCGGTTGTTAAGTTATCAGTTCCTATCACATGTGACGCACAAATAAAACGTCTTTCGCCGTCTTTAGACACCATAAATAACTAAGCGCAACAAAAAATGCACGTTTTCTCCGCATCCGCTCCGTGGGCCGTGATTCACTGTAGCAAGAATGGTCACCTCACGTCTGACCCTACAACAACTATCACTTTTGACCCTCACCAGAACGACGGAGGATTAGGAGGCGGCAGGACAGCACCTGATACCAGTTGGGAACAGACTGCTTGAACTAACCCTGGGCAGACTTACCCGCTCCGTGTGGCCACGCCGCGCTGCTGATCCGCACGGGAGCGGCGCGTCCCGTCCGTGCGACCTTCAGTCCTGGGAAGACATCAACTCGTCGGCAGCCGCCATTCGATAGGCGTCGGTATCGACTGGCCGCCGGTGACGTCACGTTGCCAGGGCGACCGGTGGGGAATCGTTGCTGATGACGTAATAATCTGCGTAGTGGGAGGAGCCTACATCGTTGTCGCAGTGATCTGCTGCAGGGCGGATCTCCGTCTAGATAAGACTAAATTTATTCCTATCACGTCTAGACGGTCAGCTGATAGCTGCCGATGCGATGCTGACATGAGCAAATATCCGAAAATATAGCTCTCTGATACGTGGATATTTAACATGTTACCCGGGACAGCTCACATTGGCACCATAAGACAAGATCCACTCTTGCAATACTTACTAAACTGAAAAACAAACATTCAGAAGACAATCGAAAATTAGAATGTAAAACGTGTGATCACATATATCATGTTACCTATGGTATTACTAAAAAAAAACACACATTTCAATACATGTTAAGTATGTCGTAAGTATGTCGTCGCGATTTGTTCAACGCCTCTCATTTAATGCCTTTTAAAGACGGCCCAGAGTTTTACATTTACAGACACAACTGCAAAACCTTGGCATTACACTACGCGAGCTTGTGCGGTGCCCGTGCACCTAAGGTTTTAACCGTTTCCGGACCTATCAGTTTTCTACGTATGTATGTAGGTAGACAAGACAGAAAGGAAAGGGTTGGAGCGACCAGCGACAAGCGGTAAACTGCATGGGATACGCACGGACAAGGTCTACAATTTTTATTGAGGTAATTTTCAGGTCAGGTCAAAGATGACGTCACAGGGGTCAAAAAAGTCCAAATGGCCGCGCTAGATATGGAGAGAGTTTTTTCTGGAATAACTTTCGAATTAGTCAAGATAGGAAGAAACTAAGGGCATCATCGTGATTCTCTCGTCAATCCGCATCGAATGATATATATATATATATATATATATATATATATATATATATATATATATATATATATATATATATATATATATATATATATATATATATATATATATATATATAAACGTGTGATATATATAAACGTGTGATATATATATATAAACGTGTGATTATATATATATATATATATATATATATATATATATATATATATATATATATATATATATATATATATATATATATATATATATATATATATATATATATATGTGTGTTGACCTCGAAAGGTCAAGGTCAAAGGTTGACCTCAGGCCACGTGACCTCGATGGCATCATGTATATCATTCGATGCGCCTTGACGAGCTGAACACAATGAGACCATCCGCGCGGCTGTATCTTGTTCCGGTACAGAGTTATTGACAAAAAACCTTTGGTGACCTTTGATGACGTCACATGGCCTTACAGCTGCCCAACAGCAAAGCAGACCTCAAGGTAGTGAAGGTTGATCGTAATGAAGTCATGGATGGGTTAAGGGGCCATTCCGACCCGTTTTAGTGGTAAAACAGGGAGTTGATTTTCCCCCATTGACTTATAATGGGGAGGTCGAGAAATTGACCTGACCTTAGGTCATCGATATCAAAATTCCGAGATGAACAAATTGTAGCTACTAATGACCTTATAAAATCCTGCGACTTTCAAAGGCCTCAGACATCTACTGTAGCTCTGGCACGGTGACAAAGTTGCAAATTGAAAGTGACTTGAGGTTGGGTCATTCAAAGTGACCTGGTGACCTGACCTTAAAACTTATGAGGTTCAAACCTGCACAGCATGTGTAAAATTAAGAATAGTCGTAGTCGTAAGAATAGAGAATAGTCGTACCAAATTTCGCGGCGCACCTCAGGGGGGCGGATATCCGCGCCCCCCGTCGGTGCGCGGGTTAAAATGATTGTTGGCCTGCGATTAATTGTCCAGGTAAATTGTAAATATTTGTTTGCCTCTGCAATAAATAACTGCAAAAGCCATCCTAGCATACCCTTACAACGCGGAATCTACATTTAGGTACGTTACCTTGCTCCTAGCCTATCCTATCTAGAAGGGCGCGGTGAGCACAACCACAAGGCCCTATCTCCCCCGGGTTGGCCGGATACCTAAATACCTCGAGCGAAGCCGTCACACGATAACCCCGACTGACTCGCGCTCTCGCATTATAACGACGCTCAAGCTGGTAGTCGGAACGAACGGTCGGACCATCCGAGATGAAAAACTGCCTAGCGCCCCAACGGGGCACCCGCCGACCGGGAAAACGTATGCCTATTTCCTACCGGCGCGGGCTTTGCAAGAGTAAACAGTAATTTTACCAGTTGATTTTTCATTCTGTCTAGTCAATACCCTTTGCAACCACCAGACGTGTGACGGTGTCCGCTGAGCCCGACCCTAAGCTCAAATAAATGTGGAGAATCGTGAAGTTCCAATCTTACTCAATAGATGGCGGCACTAGTCAACGCCTGATGCATGCTGTGCCGCATGTCACAAATGGGCTGCTGATTTTGCTGCCATATTCCTTTGCCACCACCAAAAAGAGTGCCAAAAAGCCACCACTTTTGGCAATTCGCGCACTATTTGTCGCTGTTTTGCCGGCAGTGTAAATTTGGGCTCTCTCTATCGTCTGGATAAAAATAGGCCCCGCCCATCCCAATCAGCTGCTGCATGACGAGTTGATGACGACAACCACTGCTTACCAGCAACCAATCTAGGGATAGCGTACGTGACAGTAATGGTGCAGCGGTTGCAAAATATTTCATTGTTATTCAAACGGTTTTTGCTTTTAGGGCCTTGTTGTTTGATTGTATTGAGATATGTGATTAGATGAGGTGTTGATGAAGGCAGGTATTTTTTAAAAATATTTTTTTTTTTGACAATATTTTGCCCTTGTTCTACTTAATAGCTGAACCCGGGACCACCTGAAGTCTAAACCTTTTTTTTATATAACACGTCAATGCTGATGCTGTCTTGAAATGTGAAATTTAGACAATGGTAATAGGAATAATGAATAGCAATTTCACCAACAACTTGTTAATCTCTAGGAAGTGCAATTAAAATTAAAATCACTGTTTGCCACACTGCTCCGATCCTGGTCATGCAACCAGCGTTCATGGGTGGTGTTTCACGGCAGAGCACTGCAGTGCGCTGCGTGTGTCAGAGCATTGGGTTTCCATGGCAGTGTCAACAAACTTCACTGTGACGCTAAGCTATGACAGCATCCCAGAACGCTAGCACGCTGCGGTACCAGCACCAGCGTCCAGCAGCATGCTAGCAGTATTTGAACTCAAACCTCTGTTCTTGGTACGGTTTTTCAGAACCTCTCACTCTGTTCCAAACACGATTCATCATAAACTAAGAGATCACATGCAGCGTCATTTGAGTGATGCTATGGTATGCCGTAGCTACCAGTGCACACAGTGTCTGGATGGTGAAAACAGGGCCATTATTAATCACATTTGCTTTGCTTTGTTTCAGCAGAAACCTGTCTGCACATGGGAGGAGTGCAACAAAAACCCATCAAGTTCATGCATGGCAGTGGATCTCAACAGGAGAAAACCAGAAAGAACATGGATGCTTGTAGATTGCAGTTGTACACTGCTGTTATCACCTGATGTGCGTGGCTGGCATTGCTCCTGGCAAGAACCACCTGCAAGTGATGAGATGGTGCCTCAGTCGTTGAGTGTGCTGCAGTGTGAGAGGCGCCCTGATCTCTACACTTTGTGATGGGTTTCCATTGGAGGTTCAACTGAGAAGTGAGAACTGACTGTGACCATGCTCGAGCATGCCAGTGGATCTTTACATGCTTAGGGCAGCTTTTGAACAGATGCTGACCATGGCATGTCCCATCCAGTTATCACGTGCACAGAATGGTGGGGGGAGGGCAACTCTGGGCTCTTGAGTCAGCCCTACTGCACAGGGGGTACAGATGGCCGCTTACGTTTGGTGTGTCCTGCACTGCATTATCAAGCCCAGTCTGCTGCCACAGGCAATGGGTCGGGCTGCACTATATTAAAGGCAGACTATCTTGCAAAGGAGGCTGGCATCCTCTCCCATAATGACACACCAATTGACAATCATCGCTGCGATGATCACGAGGGTGTCCGCTTATCTAACATGGTGAGGTGGAGAGCCAGCTCAAGCTGGCCTGAGGCCGAGGGATGGTTTTACTTCATCTGAGGCCCCCTTTCCCCGCCTGCCAGGTCCGGTCAAACGACCGCTTCACAGTGAACGACTTGCAGTGGATGCCGTCCCACAGCGCAACGAGCGCGCCGACCAGAGGCGGCGGCCAAGAGGCGGCCGCGCTCCCCCAGTCGACGGTCCGGTGGACGTCGGCAACGCCCACCGTGCGACCATCAGATCGGCTCGCGACCGCGCCGTCGCCGACTGACCGCATGACTGGTATCTGTTCTTGATGTGGGACCGACTGCCACCGCCGGTCGCGGAAGGGCATCGCTCATTGGCCATCGACGTCCACCAGCTTCGCGTGGGTCACTGTTCGGGTTGCCACCAATACACCGAATCGGATGGAACCCTGTCGGCGAATGCCGGCGGTGCCCCGACATCGACTGCGCGGCGGCCAGTGCATCGCGTGCCGGGAGGAGGCTGGCACCCCCGATCGGTCATTGGTCACAAACCGTGTCCCAGCTCATGACTGCATCCAGCGCAGCTCTGTGAGATGTTCTGCTGCAGTCTGCCGCGTGTGTTGAAAGAAGAATGAACATGAGAAAACCTCAAAACTTTATGCCTCGTCCCGTCTCGTATTTGACCAGTATTGGAATAAGTTTGGATTTTGAGAATTTGTGTCCCTGTGCTTGTGCCTGTGTGGAAAGGCATGCTTTACGGTGTACCATCTCAATTTGTGCGGCTGCTGACAGGCCACCTGGGTGCCAACGTATGTGCGAATCCGCGAATACGTTGTGTTTCGTCAGTCGGTATCGTTCTGAAAATATTGACTGCAATAGGCTATGTAGCGTATGACGGTTCAGCCCAGCAGTAATAACTGACCATTGATTGGGCGAATTTTGTGTGGTGGTTCGCTAATACATAACCTAAAGAGTGTTTTGCCGGAATCGTTTAGTAGCAGAACTGACCGGAATATAAGCAGAATGCAACGGTTTGAATCGTTAATTTGTTGAAACGATTGTTCTCTGAGACCACTGTGTAACTTTTGACCTGAGAATCACCAATTATAACGACAATGGTGGAAGCAGTAGGCACTAGGTAGAGTGTAGGCAGCACTATATAGTTGGCACACTTACGCAAGCACACGACTTACGCAGTGGACATCTGCATCATGCATGTTAAGGTTTACTGGGAAGAGTGAGAAATTAGTCAGAATATAAATGACTAAGGAAAATAGGCGATATTTCCAATTGAGCTGGGGCGGAGAGGGGGAGGGGACGTATGGTCATCTATGCCAATAATTCATTCTCGTTATGCAGCTGTGTAAAGGGCGTCCGTTTTTTTGGGTGAGGCCTTCCCCATTGGCCATTTCCAAGCTAAATCGTGGTGGAGACTCGGAGAGAGTCTGGAGACCTCAGCCTCGGTAGTCGGTACCCTGCGGGCTGCGCGCTGCGCCACCTTGCGAAACATAAAGCAGCAGTCCTGACATCTACAGGCGCTACTTTTCATGAAAGCGCGGATGTGTTCGCGCTTATGCGAAGAAAATTCTTCCGAGTATGGTTGATAATGAGATTAATTGTTGTCATTTATTTATTTATTAATTCATTGGCAAAAGTACCCTAATAAATCGGTAAAGTAGCTTAAACTGTATCGTTTTTCCTTGGGAAAAAATGACGAACTCATCCTAAGACATCCAGATTATTGGATGCGTTCGTCAGTTGTAAGTAGTTCAGATTTTTGGAAAAATTTGTTTGTGGAAAATCATAATATTTCAAAGATATGCCTATTTTGAATAATTTATGCATATATCTGCATTGAAAAATGATTGTAAAGCAAAATGCCAAAAGATTATTGTCAATTTATTTTCTCAAATCACAATTTACGAACGCACAAAACTCCAGCTTTTAATTTAGTGCGTGTGCGAATTGCGGCCAAGAAAAAAGATTTAAACTGTCTTTATTCCTCTTAAAACAATGAAGGATGAATGAGGAAAATGCTGTTTTGAACAATTGTATATTTATTTTTTCTCAAATAAGCAAAAGTACAAAATTTTCAACTATTATTACATTTGCTCTCACAAAACTCATCACTTTTAAGCATGACGTCATGTCAACCAAACTTACTAGCGCCATCTCTGGAGAGCATCTTTCGAAACCTCCAGACGATAGAGAGAGCCGTAAATTTGTGGTGGTGTGTGTGGTAGATACTCTGAAATTGATTGGATATTTTGAAATGAAATGATATAGTTTAGTTATATTTTCATTTTGAACCTGTATCTAGCTAGATTATCACTGCAATAAGGGAAGGTGACTTGTAATCCTCAATTGCTATCGCCTTCATATTTCAATTTGAATTCCCTATTTCTAACCTTTAATTCAAGCATTCCCATATTGTCACTCATCGATATTCAGAAAATGAAAATGAGGATATTTGGCATTCCTGATGGGGCTTCATTCCCGAATATATTATGGTGGCTGCTCAGTGTGTGACTACAGTAACGCTTTCTCTAATTCAGACAATTTTGCACCACTTTGAAAACAAATAAAGTTACCTAACACAAAAGTGAAAAGAGCCAGGCACTGCTTAGTCAGTGAAGTGCAATAATCCAGTAATACATACAATATCAATATTAATGTAAAACATTTTTGACAAGCTTCCATTGTAGCTTATTTATGCACAAGTCGCCACTCGCAACAGGGCTGGCAGGCCCTCCTGGGCCTGCCTGGCACCCAGACTGCTGGTGGGGTGGCACCTATCAAATATAAATACTTACCAAGAATTGGCTTTTCTAAGTGATCATTCCCCTACCTACATATTCAAAAGCTGCAAATAATCGTAAGAGCTTCCAGTGGTCTTGTCAAAATAGGACTCATTATATTGTCCCTGTTCTGTTTCAACTTTCATCTGGGCACAATTGTGTTGGATGAGAGACTTGCAAGCCCTCTAACATTTTAATGGACCAGAGCTTCTGCTGCCAACCACATTTCTGCCTGTTCCATGCTGTTTGCTTTTTCATACCATCTGCTTTTATTTTCCTGCTACATGTTTTTGAGGGCTTCTGGTGCTAGGATAAACAACTGAACTGTTTGATGACATGACATTATTAGTCAATACCAGTACTGTAGGTCAGGTCAGTTAAGGTTAGGCTAGGACCTTGGCCTAACAAATGCAGAATTTTGTGAGACTTTTAAGTTTCACCTGGGAAATTCACAGATGAGGCTGTTAGGCCTTGATTCTGCCAACGTTGCTCTGTGATTTTAAAGTAAATATTTGGATTGGAAAGAAACAAGGAATGAAACATTAATTGAAATGTATTTTTCTTCCTTGATGGTGGCAAAGTCATGCCTTATTCATGGCTGGATGATGGGCCACTTAACACAGCTAGGCTAACATCATCTGTTAGCTTTTCTTAGACTTGATGTACCTACCTATTGATCTTGATTCGCCTAGAAACCAGAGAAGTTGTTTGTCCAATGTTCCAAGTGCCCAACCAAACTGCTACCTATTTATACCAACTGAACATTTTCTATTCTGATTAAGGAGCAGTCAGGTCATGCATCTGGTGATTGGTATAAGGCTTGGCTGGAGATATAGTGTTTATTTTTGAAAGGCTACCTCTTATCATGCTACATGCTACATTTTTTTACCCAAACACCCCTCTCTCAACTTTGTTTTGTGGAATTAGCTGTTTGGTGTCAGGCTATTTCGAATTTCATTTGCTGTTGCTGCATGGTTATCAGCCAAGGAAATCTGAGGCTGTGTAAAAAATCCTCTTGTCAAGTATATTTTTGTGTCACTTGTTGAACATTTTTTGTGTGTAAAATCATTTAATCATGCTGTATTATCCTCCTTCATATAGAAGCAAAAATCTATGCAATTCAGTTTTTTAAATAGCTCAACTGTTGAATGGATATCTGATTGACCAAGCTGGTTCTTTGCTGATTCAAATTATCAATTCTTATTTTGAAACAGAATGAAAAGTGTATGTAAAACCATTGATCATTGCTGCTTGTGCTGCTCCCTGCAGGTCAGATCCTCCATCACAGGTCACTCGGTTCTCAGTGATTAGTACCAGACACCGGATAGCCTGCAGCGATGGCCGGTCAGTTCCCGGGCATGGGCGGCGGCGGCATCAGCCAGAACAACTCGTACATGATGCAGCAGCAGCAGCAGCCGGCGGCGCCGCAGCCGGGCGGTGTGGGCGCCTTCACCAGCCAGCCGGGCGAGGGCGGCTCGTTCGGCGGCCAGGTGACCTCGTACTCTGGCTACCCGAGCAGCCAGCCGGGCCTGTCGCAGGCCGGGCCCGGCGGCTACCCCAACCCGCCGGCCTACTCGCAGTCGGGCGGCGGCGGCGGCGCCTACAGCCTGGCCTCGTCGTACATGAGCAGCTCGTACGGCGCCCAGTCGCCGGTCTACTCACAGTCGGTGGCGGCCGCGCGGCCCCAGATGAGCGTCTCGCCGGCGGGGTTCCCGGGACCGGCCGGCCCGTACCAGCACCACTACCAGCAGGCCGGCTTCCAGCAGCAGCAACAGCAGCAGCAGCCACAGCAGCAGGGCGGCTTCGCGCCGATGCAGGGCTTCCCGAGTCCGCAGCCCCAGTTCAGTCAGTCGATGCAGCAGCATCAGATGCAGGCGCAGTTCGCCATGCAGCAGCAGCAGCAGCAACAGCAACAACAACAACAGCAACAGCAGCAGCAGCAGGGGCAGCAGGCGTACTCGGCGCTACACCAGCAGCAGGCCAGCCTGCCCACGCAGACCATGATGACCTCCGGTAACCATCTCACCCGAGCCCTGCCTGTTTGTCACCTGCATCGGGCTGTTTCCGTATCGTCCACTGCACGGGGATATTAACGTGCACTGCCTGCCTGACACAACGCTGGTGCGAGGGCCGATGCATGTCTGTGTGCGCTACCCTGTGGTTGTTGCCCATCACTGACCCATCGCATGTGACCTGATGTTTCCGTTCTTTGTGGTATTGGTTCGACACGGGCTTTTGTGAGCTGAAACTCCCCTAACGGGCGGTCAAATCGCATACCCCTCCAGGACTTCCTTGCTCCGTGTTGTCTGCCTGTTTGATGTGACCTCGCCACTGTGATATGACGCCTGCTCTGCCATTGGCACGCCTTATGTGTATAATCCGCATCACCAACGTCTGACCCCTCGTCTTCAGCGTGCCCGCCACTGCACTGTGACCTCTGGGTGATACGGTGGCTGGCTTCCGGCTGTGCTGGCACGGGTGACCTCACGGTATGAAGGCGTTGTTCACCCGCACTCTTGTCATGCATTGGTATGGCTATATTGCGCTGATTGCATGCTGTTCTCGCATTGCTGCACATTGCCATGTGTTGTGGTCAGGTAATGATGCTTTGATTGGCCCGATTTCCAATGTAGCTTATGAATTACAATCTTAGGTCTACTGTTCATGTATTAGAAGTTCTATATGTAACTTTGTTCGTTTCCTCTGTAATTATACTCTTCTTTTGTCCAGTCACATCTTCATTTAAATTTGTTTTCGTCGGACATTCTACGTAATGTGCGATAGAGATTTGTAATAATGCCGTCTTATGAGTTATGCACTATCCAGCTATTGTCATAACTGCACACCCCAAGCCGTGATGTCCGTGATATAGGTACCTGTCGTTTGTGCCGTGTGCTGACACCGTATTACTTGCCGTCGTCGCAGCGGCCGGCGGCTCCATCTCCATGAGTCAGCAGCAGGCCGTGGTACCGACCGCCACACCGACACAGGCGCAGGTGTCTGTTATGACCTCACAGCAGCAGCAGCAGCAGCAACAAGTACAGCAGCAGCAAACACAGCAACAGCAGCAGCAGCGGGACTACAACGTGGCGACGCTGTGCCGCTACGCGCAGGAGCACCTTCTGGAGCTGGTCAGCCGCTGCCAGGAGCTCTTCAATGTCCTCAAAATGCATCAGGTACTGACGTGTGAATGGATTCGGGCGCGGAGTCGGCTCTTAGGATGTGTCTGGCAGTAACTTGCATTGACTGTGCAGTGTTCAATGTTCATGATACGCATCAACAGTGTATTTTTCACACTCCAAATATTAATTCACAAATAGTTGCTTCTAAGTATTAATAGTTGTTTCATTAGCTGGTTGTTCATAATGAATTGTGTGGTGTTCAGAATATCGATTTCGGTAAGCACGTCGAACAACTACTTCAAATACCGCTGTTTACACCTTTGTTCTTCATGGACACTGGACAGTGTATCCGTCCGTGACGCCATCCTCCCTGTCCATTATCCAACTCCCGGCTCCGTCCCTGACCACCAACCGTCTCCCACAGCCGCCCAACGGCACGCCTCAGGGGATGACCAACAGTGCCGACAAGCAGAACAAAATCAAACAGCTGCTCGAGTACATCCGCGTCCAGTTTCGGCGACTGCGCGTCTACCACGAGCGCATCTCAGAGTGCTGCGCCAGCTTCGAGTTCACGCCCGTTGAGGTGAGTTGAGCGCCTCTGCTGGTCTTAGTGCTAAGGCAGGGGGAGAGACTGTGTGAATTTGCTACAAGACTGTCAGGTTATTTGCCGGAGTGTTGCTGAATGCTGGCCAATGACGGTCTGTTTGGCGTCGCAGGGCCTGATTCCGTACAAGGACGAGCCGGACAGCAAGCTGGAGGACAAGAAACAGTCGGAGCTGTGCCGCCAGGCCACCGAGGAGTATAATGAGATGAAGGAGGTGAGAGCGAGACCACTGATAGACGGGGAAGGTGATCATTTGTCAGTAAAATGCAGAAGTTGCACCTCTATAAGCGCGTTAACATGCGTTAAGTATTTATAGTCACCGTGGTGTTAAGGTGGTGTTAAGTACGATTAATGGTGGTTCATGTTTCAGTTCTATTCTTTCACATACCAAAACTCGCATTGTCTGTTGAGGTTTCCTCACCAACCGCGGTCTGACTTCGCCCCCAGCTTGACATACACCACACCCTCCTCCCAGTCTTCCCACCCGTTGCTGTAACACCCAACACCGCCTCCTATTCACAGCACGTGCAGCTGCGCAGCCGCTACCTGAAGGAAGTAATCGACCAGCTGCGCAACATCGTGTGGGACGTCAACACCATGCTGGCCATGCGACATCCCACCTAGGACTTCGTCAGGTTCTCCAGCTGAGTGGACTGCCAGACGGTCGCGTTAATCGGCCATGTTATCAGCGCCAAGCGGAGATCTCTCTCCCGTATCATCCTTGCCCGCTGTTACAAGCTAATTTCAGCGTGTTGCGGTGGATATCCTTTCAAAAGGGGCATGGTCATCTGTTACATTTTGTATGCCATGTATTTGTACAAGTGACTGCATATATGAATACACATGTTCATCGCATACGTGATACAGCACGCATTGTTTTACATAAAAAATAAGTTTCGTGTAGCGAGAAATAAGGACCAATGCAGGACGAACACATTGGGCGAAGCATGCTTGGTTTCAACGCTCTATCGGACACACGCACACACTGAACACAACATAATGACATTACCTACGCCGCGCTAAGATCCACCGCCGGCGTCCGTCAGCCTCAGAACGACTGTGCGCAGGCGTCGCTACAGAACACCTTGTTACTAGCACAGATGAAGGGCGCACTGACCAGGCCGGCGCGACACGTGTAGCAGTGAAAACACTCGGCGGTGGCGTGCCAGAACAGCTCGTCGCCCAGGCTGATCCGCTGGTCGGAGGGCGCGATACCTCGGGAACAGGTCACACATACCTGGGAGAGGAGACACGATTCATGTCAGAAATAACATGTGCGTATGTAAGCAGAAGACGAGCAAAGAAGTTTCGGACATTACTAATTAAGCGAATGAGCTTTGTACTCCGTCTTCGGTGCTGTCAGTATAAGATGATACCGAAGAATTGCTTTTATCCGTACCTTTCCGTAGTGCTGTCGGTAGCAGTCGAGGCAGTGCGGCCGTTCCCCTCTCAGCACGTATTGCTGGCCGGCCAGCGGCTGACAGCAGGCCGCGCAGCAAAAGTGCCGCGTGTGCCAGTGCTGGCCACCGGCCTCCGTGTACTGCTGGGAGAAGATCAGCTCGTCGCAGGCGGGACACCGACTCAGTCGCTGCCGCTCAGCGTAGTGGCGGCCGCAGAACACCTGGCCAGACTTGTAGAAGTAGATCAGGTCCACCAGCAACTCCTGAGGCGTGCGGACGGTGTAAGGCGGGTTAGCTAGTGGCGCGTTTGATTGGTGTACAAACACATTTGCCAACGGCACAGCAGACGGCTGGGCAACGGGCAGCGTGGGCAAAGGTTCTCAGGGTTGAAAGCCCCAAAGCTTTTACCCATCCCCTTTGGGGCTCGTCGAAGACATGAGATTAGTAAAGGCTCCTATCACTTGTAACAAGCCCTGGGGTCATTTTATCCTTTTGTCGTGCCCAGCTGTTTTCTTTTCGCAACCTGTTCGTGTCCTCACCTGGCAGGTGGCGCAAACAAAACACTGCGGATGCCAGCACTTGTTGGCGCCGGCCCGCTCGGCAAACACGGCTACATCGCCGGGCTGCATGGCGGCGCGGCAGTGGTGGCAGCACCAGCGCCGGCGCGTGTCCCAGGCCGGTCGGTCGGGCGGCGCCGCCAGCGCCGGGGCCGAGCCGCCGGCCGCCGCCAGGCTGGGACTGGAGGCGGCCGCCGGCCGGCCCACCGAGCGGGAGCGGCGGGCACTGACCGGCCGCACCGAGCCCTCGGGCGCCGGCGGCACGCTCTGCAGACCGCGGAACGGCTGGTCGCCGGTGATTGTGACCGGCGCGCGGCACAGACCGCCGCTGGTGCCGCCCATACTGCGGAACGGAGCGCGCGGCGACGGCGACGGAGAGCGGTGAATCGAGGAGCTCGGCCACCTGGTCAGGGACGAGGCAGGGTGAGTGAGTAGTCGGCGAGGGGCAAGAAGCGAGGGATAGGTAACTAATTCTGGCAACCTCTACAGGTTCTAATCTCTAAGGACCGAATGTGCTGTAATGTTAATTACACGCACAGCAACTCGAGCTCCGTCTTGTACCCACATATTTTGTGAGCGACTCCATTCACCCGCCGACTCGTGCAAAGAATGAGACTGACCTGACCGATTCCGGCTCTGCCGTGAAACTCCCGGAGAAATGAAGACTAGGACCGGGCCCGGCCGAGTCCTGCGGTCCCTGTGGCGATGGCGGAGGCTCCTGGGGACCCCACTGGGCTGTCGACGGCAGAAGACCAGCGGCTATACCGCCGTCTGAAAAAAAAAACGAAAACCAAAACGCTCCGATATCTGACGGACTAACGAGGATCGAGTGAATATGCTAGCCGAGAAGTGACTATATAGCTACTCGACTACAATAGTTACACTTGACAAGTACTCGATCGATGGCTGTAAACAGCCGGCTTGGGACTAATGGAACTCACAAACGGATGGCACCAACGCAAAAAACGGACAAACTAATGGAACTAGATACAAACGGATGAATTATCTAGCTCAAGCCCGCATCGGACTCAACACTTACTGGACACCCGTCTGCGCTGTTGCTGCTGCTGCTGCCACTGCTGCTGCGGCGACTGCTGCCACTGCTGCTGCTGCTGCTGTGGTTGCTGCGGTGCCCACTGCTGCTGGGACTGCCAGTTCTGCTGCCGCTGCTGCTGCTGTGTTGACGGCTGTCCACTCACCATACTGGCGAAGTAGGTGGGCTCGCCGCCCTGGAGAAGCGGCTGGCAGACAGAGGCGGGCGAACCGCCGCGCCACTGAGCCGCTCCGGCCGACGGCGGACTCCACTGCAGGGGAACATGGCGAAGTGCTAGATCGACACCCGGAGGGCCCGTACGCGAAACTCTAACCTTAATCAGAGGACTAATTTAAGCCTGCGGACGCTACACTTACATGAATTAGATAAAATTCGAAATAACGTATACTTTGAAACTCTTTGAACACTTCTACTTTGTCTCAGAGTCACGAGCATCATGCTCCCATCTGTGTCATGACTATTGATACTTTTATCTTCCAGCGTGCGGTACTCACTGCGTTATTCGGCATGAAGCCGCGCTGGTACGGCCCGTTAGGAGGAAACTCGCAGACGATGCCCTGGCCAACGGCGTTCTGTCTGACATCTTGCACGTAGGACTGCATCCTGCGATGAACACATGCTCAAATCACAGCAAAGAAGTTTGCGAATGACGCAGGCGGCAATGAGAGTCGGCTTGATTTCTTAATTTAAGTAGAACGTGTTCTGACACACAAGACACTTTTCATAGCTGAACTTCAAATAAAGCCCAGATGACTGACCTAAATGTCCTTGACTTTCCCTCTCGAGCCCCCTCTGACATCTGGATACACCATTTTGCTCCCATAACCGTAAACTAGCCTTTGACCATTCCCACTACACCCTCCGTCTCCAGAATGTTCAAAAGTCTTGCCCATTGCGCTTCGCCCTCCGGCTGACTTTTTACCCAACAAGTTGGCTAATGAGCCACCTCACGCCCTCTCAATGACCTTATGTTCTCTGCCACACTCCCGCCATATGATACCACGGGACAACGTTCTGGTTCTTGAGCCCATTAATTGATCTTTGAGCTTTCTGACAAAACTCTGGACCCCCGTCGGATCTTCAACAGATCTCTTAGCCCTTTGACCCATTGGCACTTTGGTGGACACCGGTCTGGGACTGACACCGGATGAGGTCGAGGTCCCTAGACTGACCTCCGGGCCCCTCCCACTGACCTCAGCTCCCCCTCCCCCACTGATCTCAGCTCCCTCCCACTGACCTCTGGGCCTCCGGTCCGCCGGCCTGGAGATGCCACCGCCTGAGGTCGAGGTCCCTAGACTGACCTCTGGGACCCTTCAATTCAACTCACCTCTGGGCCTCCGGTCCGCCGGCCTGGAGGTGCCACCGACTGAGGTCAGGTCCTTGAACTGACCTGGGACTATCCAACTGACCTCTGGGCCTCCGGTCCGCCACCCTGGAGATGCCACCGGCTGAGGTCGAGGTCCTGCGGAGGTAGCTGGGTCTGCAGACTACGCTGACGGAGTACGGCGCCGCTGGTACCGCGTACCGGTACCCGCCCGGGCGGCAGGTAACTCAGGTACCGCTCCGCCTGCGGACGGAAACACACAGCATTACATCGGGTCAGTTTGGCTGGGTCAAAGCAGTTGAACAGCAGTCACTAGGCCAAGACACGGTCACAGAAGTTGACAACCGCTGACATTATCAAGACAGGGCAAGAAGTCAGCTGAACAGTACATCACCATTCACCAGGTCAGGGTAGAGTCAGTTAAGACCACTGACCAGGACCACTAACTAGAGGGTAGGGTCAGTGTACTCACCAGGTCAGGGGTCACGCCGGGCGGCACCCACTCCAGCTGGGTCGGCTCCGAGGACACGCCGCCGTACCGTCCGCCTGTAAACGAGTTGAGATCAGTTCGCGTCAACGTCCGGCACGGGTGAATTCAGGCCACTTTAGTTACTCTAAGAGCTGAGCTGGATTATAGCAGACACAAAGCGCATACAGGCAACACAGTACAGCACAACTTCGAATTATCGACAACCATGTCATATTTTCAAAACCCGTCTAACGTTCATACATACGTCTCATGTGACATGAATGGACCTTTCATCCAAGATGACCTGAACTGACCTAAGGAAGTTCTGTCCTCTAACTTCCCTGACCACTCACCGCGACTGTTGACGGCCGTGTAGGGGTGCGGCGGCGGCCGTCCCGAGTCCAGCAGCTGCCTGGCCTGAGCTGCTCCGGCCGTCTCGTCCTGGTGGACGCCGTGCTCCGCGGCGCTGCAGCTGCAGTGGCGACAGGCCTTCCTCCACAAAACACGGCGTGGGTCAGTCAGAGTCAGCACATACGGCTGATTGAGTGAAATGTTACAGTCATGCCGAGTCGTAGCTAGAAAAAGCCTTATACGTAGATCGTCCTAACCTCCGCTGGCGCACTCCACTAAGAGTTGCTTCCGTAGCTCCATCATAACTACAAAAATGTTTCTGATACGCATTCCAAACTATGACAAATTGCATTAGCAGAGGAGGCAACTTTAATTCAGCCATCTGTATCCTGTCAGGCCGGTCTCTTACCTCCAGTAGTGCAGGTCGAAGCCGGGACAAACGGGTCCACACCGGAGGCAGGGTGCACCCTGTCCCAGTTCATGGCAGAGTCTTGGCGGTCCGCCGCCGCCAGCCGAGCGCTGGGTCAGGACGGCGGCGCCGGCCGGCGCTCCCTGCTGGTACAGCGCGGCGCTGCTGGTCCGGCCGGGTCCGGCCACACTGGGCCAGCTGCCCAAAGAGCTCAGCATCGCGCCGGCGCCGGCTGCTGGAAGGCGCTCAGCTGGCCGAAGTCAGGGCATGCTGTCCGAAGTCGGTGAAGTCACATTGCATGGCTTAGCGATACAGGGAAATACGCAGGCTAGTTTCAATTGCAGCAATTAGAAGATTAAATTGAAAATAAGTGCACCGCTAAAGCGTCGATGAGTCTACGATTAAGCATATTTATGTAGACCCTTCAGACCCTTCGATCCAGCATCTTTATCACTTGAACAGAAACGAACAGAAAGGGCAGAAAGGAACAAATCCGAAACAAATCCACACAACTCACAGAGCCTACAGTTCACGTGCCCTGCTGCAGATTCTACCTCCATGTTTAAAAAGTCTTAACTTCCTCAAAGTCACATATTTTGATATTGTAGCTTGACCTTTGTTCTTTCGCAGTCGCGCATTTCGGTCCCGTAATGCAGAATGACTCCAAGCTGTTGCATTGTTCACCATTTGCTTTATTATTTGACGTGTACGTAAAACCACAGTAATGCATTGTGATAAATAAGCATCGTAAGATTCGTTTAAAGTCCCGTAAAAGGAATTAATCACATTAGTAGGTATAGTTCGGAATGCCCCAATACGATTCAATAAAAATCAAGCTATTACACGAGGAACTGGCTATAATTCGTTGATATGATCGTTGAACCAAGAAAGGCGCAGCCCGGTACAGTGGCCTATGCATAACTAAATATACTTGTACTTGAAGATCTGGCATGCAGCATACAACAATGGAATGATCCGGCTGATAAAAGAACTATAAGCACTTCTGGAGCCCCGGATACCTGAGACGGGATCCAAATGAGATACACGGGAGGTACAAACGTAAAACAGCCACCCCGACGTACACTATGGCACACGTCACAGCAGACACACACACAAGTCGGAGTGGACCGCACATGTCACTCGCTATTCTGCAGCACTGTTCAGATCTGAGGAAGCAGAACGGAAGGAAAGCGTTCACCGCTCAGCCGTCTGGCATGGCTAACAATGCAGCGCATACGTAGCGTCCACAGCCTCCATACACTATCACAAACCCACGCATTACCGCGATATCGGCCCCAGTAGCAGCCACACCACGGCTGAGCAATTGCAGTACTGGCCCGAAGAACACAATCGCACCGACTGGCACAAAGTTCTGTGAGACACCAGTCACTTGGTCATATCGCGCCGGCCGGGAGACGTCGTCCTGGCGACACCACTTGTCACCACACCGGCACGAATAATTATTACGGATGTGTCCAAGAATATGTAAGCTTCGCTACGTTCATCGGTTGCCATTCTAGTCCGGGAAACAGCCGTACACATCACTCTGTGTCTATCACAGGATCTGTCCGTCCACAGCCCGCCGCTCACCGCTGCTCGGCGGCCTCCGACATACTCAGGTTGGCCACATCCACAGCCAAAGTGTCGTACGCGGGCGACACTCCCACTGCGGGCAGGCCGTTGGAGACGGGTGCCGAGCCGTCCTCCGGGGTGACCTCCTCCACAATATCAGCGGCGGAGGGCGGGTAGAGGTCCTCCGGGACCGGGGTGGAGAGGGACGGCGGCGCAGACTCCTCGTCACTGGTCCCGTCCGGCGGCTGACGCGGACACTGCGGCTGCGGGCTCCAGCCGCCGCCAAACGGCCACAGGTCACGCAGCAGCTGCGGAAACAGGACGTGACATCAAAAGCCTTTAGTAAGATGGCGATTCCCAATTATAACTTACAGAAAACTAATGAGATATGCAGCATAGGTGCTGATTGTGTTGGCATCATTCCGTGAACTTTGGAGAAGTTGGACAACACTGACCTGTTTTTGAACGTTGACTAGCTCTCTGAGCGTCCTTAGGTCAACTTCCTTGTTCTGCAGCAGCCGGTCCATGGTCTCGACACAGAGGGTCTGGCGCAGCACCGCCCGCCGCACCTTGCACGGCATCCCCGTCAGACCCTGGAACACATCGTCGTTAAAACTCTGCAACATAATGTGGTTAAAGTCTGCAATGAAATGCAATTATTAAACTATGAAACACAAGATAATTAACGTCTGCAACAAAGACACCCAAACGCTGCAAAACATCTTTTGTAATAAACACCTTAAAACAAAGTCGTTACGATTTAACATTAAGATCGAGCCAAGACGTCAAAAATTACACACTGTATTAAACTTAATCTGAGGAATCATGAAATACATCACTCTAATGCCTGGGAATTCGCCAAAGCAGCGACGCCTAGGATAATTTAGTCCAAGGCTCAGACGCCTTGATATTGCGGTCGCCTTCGACATAAAAGCAAATGAAATCAAAGATATCATCCGTATTTGCTACCGCGGCCCGGCGCGCCACACACCGTCACCCAAAAGCATGCACACACGACATTTCCGCCCGACATTGCCACCGGAGAACACCACTGCAAAGCACGCACACAACGAAAATGGAACAGCAACGCGCTACACGAACAACCAGTCCCAACAGCCAGAAACCGACCAAAGAGGAAACTTGGAACTCTTGAAGAAAGTGGCGTGAGACGCCCAAATTCAACACACCAGCCTATTACGGCAGTAATCACAGATTGAAGACTGGTAAGACGAAAATCATAGCACAGTGTGGAGCTCTCTGAGAGAAACTCTACATCCCAATAACTTCTCAAAGCAGAACAAAACGTCCCAAAGAAGAACAAAAATCCCTTTAACATCACCAAACGCGAAGACGACCCATCACCATTGGCACAAGAATCACCCCATACCACCCGACGTCACGTCACACGTCACCACGCGTCACGGCATGTCACACGTTGGCCTCGGCCGTCACCTGACCCCGGACGCGTCACCGACCGAAGGACACTCCCTCACGAGGAAGCACTAGAACCATCTCAGGTTCGGTACACTCAGACACAACTTTCGGTAAAACATTCGCAGCGTCTTTCTGTCCTGTAAGGTAAGAAAGCCAAAAGATTTCGATTAATCATTAATCCAGATATTTGTCAACTTCAAGAAATGAAAAAAGGTAAGCGCTAGCCTATTTTGGTATCTAAAGTCATTCTCAATTATCGAACGAATGGCTGCTTTCCTCAGAAATAGATGATTAGGTGAGCGAACGAGCGCTTTCTTGAGTAGCTTATCAGCCCCAATAGCTCTGGCTGCCTCTAGCTAAGTTCATGAGACCGTTGTGACTAGCTACACTACATACTAACTACGCTCGACAGATGACAGTCGACGCGGCTCTGAAACCAGACTACTTCAGAGCAGAAGCCTGGAAAGAATGTGTAGCCATTTTAGCACTTATACTGCTTATGTTAGTAGGTACCGCTCCGAAATCTGTACGAACTAGACATAAGCCCGCGGTACGTTTTCCGAAGTTGTTAGCAATAATTTTCTCTGGTAGCAATAGAACGTCATAGACGACGCCAGTTTGCGCGTTTCCTAGCGAGAAGCTGCGTTTGTGGAAAACGCCACCACTGACCAGCCTCGATTCTTGTTGTTTGCAGCCTGGCTCGCAATGTGGAGATGGCAGACACTAACCAGGATCCCCTCTGGCTGTGTGCGAGTTGGCTTTTGGCTGAAACAGGCTCGCTCTCACTTTGATCAGCGCTCCCGCTGTGCACAGACCGGAGATCCCTATGCACAGCCTCAGTCTCACTGCGAACAGCCTCCCTCTCAGCATGGACAGAATCCCTCTCATTGTGAGCAGGCTCGCTCTTACTGTGGGCAGACTCGTTCTTACAGTGAGCAGGCTCGCTCTCACTGTGCGTAGGATCCCTCTCACTGTGAGCAGACTCGCTCTTACTATGCACAAGCTCCCTCCCACTGTGAACAGGCTCACTCTCACTGTGAACGGACTCGCTCTTACTTTCCACTGACTTTCGCTCACAGCGCAAAGGCTCTCTCTCACTGACCGGATTCCACTCGGGTGGTGTGGACGTCTGTTTGCTCTCCATGACTGCGTAGGCAGACGCCTCGGACGAGGCTAGCAGGGCGTGCTTTCCCCGCAGTGCAGACACATCCTTCATGGCCACGGGCGGCGGGCCATACGTCACGAGATCCGCCGACGCCGCCGCTACGGTGGCTGACCCCGACCGCGACACTGTGAGAGGGAGACAAAGGACGTCACAGATATTCCGCTGATGCCACAGTTGGCGTCTGGGTGGGCTTAAAACGAGTGCGATTTATATGGACACATAAGGTATAGGTAAGGCGCTCCCAGAGGCTGAATGAAGATGGGCTGATGAACGATTGAATGAATGAATGAATGAATGAATGAATGAATGAATGAATGAATGCAACTAAAATCATAATTCATAGCAGAATTATCAAGTGAAATCACAGAAAAGTGCTTATTACGGAGCGAGAGAAGCGAGCGGAGTCTTTCCTTAGATTAACGGAAATTTCTGAGGTATGAGCGGCCGGCCGTGCGGACGCTTTTGCGAGGCTTATATCTCAGCAACCACTTGACCGAGTTACATGCGGTAATTTTTGTAGGGTAGCTTCATTCCTTCTACCAAATATTGGCCTATTCCCGATGCATGTGGGTGACCCCTTATGCGCGTGCCACGTGCAAAACGAAGAGAGGTCAGTTTTGTAATTGTTGCAATATCTCGGTAACTACTTAGCCGATTGCGCTGAAAGTTGGCATGTAGGTAGGCACTCACTACCAGGGTTGGCATTTTTGCCGGCAAAAACTAGTTTATGCCATTTGCCGGTTTAAACCGGTTTTAACCGGCAAAAAGTGGCAAAAACTGGTAAAAACTAAGAAATATCACAATGCTATGCTTGGACATGAATTTGAACATGAAGCATTTTAAGGAGAATTCGGTGAAAGCTTTATGCTTTCAAACAGAAGTGACACTGACCATTGAAATGCTTCATAACTCAAACATTTTCATGGGCTTTCCATAAGGAGCTAGTAAGATGCCTTTTGGGGTGACAAATGAGCCAGTGCAAGGGTGACTGGGTGAGTCCTGCACAATCAGAAGTGCGAAGGGGCATCTGCCACTGATATGCGCACGGCACCGCATGACACCTTACTTACCGTGGCTGTCTTGCCCCACTCTCCCCTACATGGAAATACGTTCCGTTGTGGATGTCTACCGACATGCATAGACATTTTAAGCAGGGATAAGTAATGAGGCAGCTTTAGAATGTTTAGTGCATCTATATAACTACCAGAAATGCATTTGTACATTTCAAATCCATTCCTAACTAGAAAAGTTGTAGGTTTGGCCATCTGAGTTTTAGCCAGTTTTTGCCAGTTCTTGCCACCAGGGTTTCTGCCAGCCGGTTTAAACCGGTTAAAACCACTGGCAAAAACCAGTTTTTGCCACCCCCTGCCAACCCTGCTCACTACGCAATGCATATCCATGTGCCAGAGTTGGGGTGCTGCTGCACGTGCGCACGTGCAGGGGTGGTTTCCAGATCTCGAGAACGGCTCGACCGATTGCGCTCAAATTTGGTACAAAGTTAGGGACCGGTTAGTAGGGTGCCGTGCAAAAGTCAGTCGGGACCCATTTTGCACGTGCGCACGTGCAGGGTGTCACTTCCAGATCTCAAGAACGGCTGGGCCGATTGCGCTCAAATTTGGCACATCGCTAGAGACCGGTTAGTAGGGTGCCGTGCACAAGTCAGTTGGAGGTACCCCCTCGCAATTTCGCACGTGCAAGGCCCACCCTCTCGCTCGCTCCGTTAGTCGCCCCAAAAGGCGTTATACTAGTTTATTATCATTCATAATCAATATAATAATGCATGCTGCCGAATTTCTTACGGGTTTGCAGCTCTGCTCCTAGATACACATGCTATGGCTGTAGTGTCTGCCACGAGTTCTTACCTACGGTCTCTGATCCACTGCGTGCCAGGCCGACCAGGCCGGTCCGGCCCGGCGCCGACATTGGCGGCGGCTGGGTCATACTGCGGGGCCGAGCCGGGCTGACCGAGCCGCTACCGCTCTCAGACTTCTGAGGGAATAACACATAGAGTCGTCACAGTATGGGGGACAAAACGGAACTGTGCGGAGAGATGACACAAGAGGGCCTTTAACTAATGATAGCTGAATGAGCAGTCATTGACAGCGGTCAGGCGTATGCGCACGCTACATCTTATCGGCTTCCACATATCCTGCAGTCAAAGACTCCTGGCAGTGACATCTTTCACATTTACCTTTCTCGTTTAATGTTTTAGGCATGGAAACCAAACGCCACGTCATTCAATGACTCCCGTTCAGTCCACTGTCCAGCATTCATTCCAAGACAGTCTTTTCCCCTACCTCTCCCCTCCCATCGTGTTCCTCCCACCAGCACTCACCGGCTGTCCGACGGCGGATTTGGACCGCTCCACCGACCGCCGACGCAGCCGGATCTTGGAGGCGGCCGGCTTACGGGGCGACACCGGCGGCGGGGGCGGAAAGTTGTTCGGCTTGGGATAATCCTGCGACAGAAAGGGGTATAACTGAAGGTTCAAAGTTGCAGGAAAAGTGATAAATCGCGACTAATCGAATCTTCACAATAAGTACATATGCAGACTATTTGATCCCAACTTTAGTAGGAAACGTCTGGATAGCTTATCGCCATGAAGGTCAAATCTCAACGCAGCACCGTCAATAGAAAATGCAGGTCAACGTCAACGCAGCACCGACATTGATTGGTGCGCCTACAATGGGCGTTCACAGCTCGCACCCACCAGAGGGTTCCGGATGTGGAGTGCGAAGGCGATGCAGCCAGCAATGTCCGGTAGGGGCGGCAGGTTGAGCAGCAGCGTCAGCGCCTCCATTCCTTCCCGCTCCAGAACTGAGGCAGGTGGCGCGGAGATACCAGCGCAGTCAGAGGTAGGGCGACGAGCTCGGGGATCGCAGGCACAGGAACAACCCAAGGACTTATCTATGGCATCCTCGAGTGCATTATAATTAGTTCGAACTTGTAGTCCATGATTAATCCTAAACGGCACTCAATGCACAGTAAACGGGCTTCATAATGTCTCTTTATAATAAACCATTCCTAGGTATCAACAGCTCATCCGTAAAAAATTGCTGGTTTGGTACCCTTCACCGGTGTATGAGATGAAACACGAACCTTCATCATATGAGCCTTCTCCCACCAGTCAATGCACCCTTAGACCCCCTCCCCCCCTCGATACCATCCCTCGCTTCCTCACTCTGTCGCCGATTGTAGATAAGGATGGCACAGAAGACGTAAGGCACCAGGTCGAGCGTGCTGGTGGCGTGGCTGTCCGCCAACAGGGCGTCCCACACCGAGCAGAGCTCCGAGAGACGAAACTCGCGGCCAAACAGCAGTCGGAACATCTTACTGCCGGGCACATAAACATAGCGATCAGGTGGGAGAAACATTAGCTTGAAACAAAGCCTTACACACTGCAGGACATAACTTGACTGACTTCAACGTCTGCATAGATCTCAGATACGGAAAAAATGTACGTACTACGTCATCAATATGCGCAGAAGCTCCTCTGATCAATCTTTCAATTAACCACATTCAATAAATCACGTGAGCCAGAACCGGTTATCGGTCGGCCGTCGGCCCCACCCGGCGCCACTCGGGCGTTAACTCCCCGGCGCGTGAGAACTCACAGCCCAAACACCTGCGGTTCCACGCCCAGCTCGGCCAGTTTCAGGTAGAGGTCGTAGTCGATCATACAGAGGTGACGGCGCACGGCGCGGTTACACGGCGACGGCCCCCACTGGTTCACACTAGGACTGGCCCGGTCCTGAGGGGCAGACACGGAGGGAAGCGATTGGGATATTGTCGAAAGGGGATGTAGCAATTGGAGTCTGGCGAGGAACGAAGCATCATACAGACGACACGAGACAGGCGAGCATCATATTGATTCGACTATGACAGTTTCGATGCTATAAGATGGATGAAATACGCTAAATGCAACTGATGAAAGTCTGCAGCCATGAAGCAGCGTGCTTTCGCTTTATACTAGTCGCGGGTCGAACCGTTGATGAATCATCCTTCCCACGACCCTCCCGTCGCGCAGTGTACCTTGGCGAAGAGCGGCGGGTGGAGGAGATCGGGCGCGGGCGGCGGCGCCCGCTGCATCTCCTCGTACTCGCGGCGACGGTTCACCGAACTACTCCAGTCCATCATCTTCAGCAGCTTCTCCAGCATGTAACTGGACGTGGTGGCAGGTCAGGTGAAGGCGGATAGTGTAAGGCAAGGTGGCATTACAATGGGTTAGGGCAAAGACAGCTGAGCGTCGAAAAGAAATGTAATTACCAAATACCAACACCAAAATACAGTAAAAACGTATATTTATGTCATAATCCTCCACAAACACACTACACATACCGTTCACGAAGCATGAAACCGTTTTCAACAAGACATAAAAATATATCTTAAGCAATCGTCACAAACCCGGATGTACTGAGTGTCTTTCCCTGTAACATCTACCATTGCCTATAAAGCTCGAACCATGCTCGAACCCTAACATTGGAAGGGAAAAAAAAACGGAAAACTGTACGGATGAGTATCGCCGTGACCCGGATAACCGAAAAACTAGTGACGTCACAATGCCGTAACTCCATTTACAAGATTGATAAGAGATCCACGACACAATGCTCGCTCAGCTCACTGTTCGCGATTGCAATATTTCCCGCTAAAGCATTTAACAATGCTCTGGGGTAGTACTTACAAGGCATCATGCTCTACGTAGTCCTTGTCCAGTAGAACTTCTAGAAGGTCGAATGTGGGGCTGAAAGGGTACACGACAGCTGTTAGTATGGGAGCATTGTAGTGTTGGTAAAGGGAAACATAGGGGAAAGCAGGCATTCACAGTACATCCGGATGCCTTACGACATAATATTGAATAGGGTAATAAGCAGCAGGCAAAAATGGATATAATAGCGAAGATTTGTCTCCTAAGACGCGTACTACGTGCATCGCTAGGATGTTATTTAGATAACTGTTCGGATAAGACGGCCGGTTAGCTGAAAAAAACAGCGGCCGATAACCGATTTATCCCAACACAGGGCACTGTATCTGATTCGTGCATTAGTGGATCAGCAGTGTCAAGCGGGACGTAGTACTAGGTCAAAGGTTAACGCGCAATAGCCAGCTTCGGAAAGTGTCCTGAACTTTTAACCTAAGGCAGCCGCACGCTGTTTTAAAGCAAATACGTCTTGCCCATAAAATCCCCTACCTTTCCAGAATTTCGATTCTCCCTCAGCTAAACGGTAAGCAAAGTTGTTCATTAGGAAACCAGAAATGAAGCCTGGACAGATTACGTACACAGCTCTCATACACTGTTCGGTAGCCACTCACTGGTTGGCACGATGAGCGGCTCGCACATCGGCAAAGTTGCTGTACTCTCTCCGCAGCAGGTAGATGATGGGAGCCAGCAGCTCGTGCATTCCCTGTGCGAAAGGATGGACAGCGGGCGTTACTCATACAATGACATAACTGGGCCACGAGGCAAATCCACGATACAGTTGTGCGATTCACGTGGTTCATCGAGTGACGCAGGTCCGTTCGCGCCTGTGACATTACCAGGCAGCACAGCGCGACATGGTACCCGATCTGACAGTGTCCATGCTGGCATTTATGTCACCTGCCAAACCATGACGAGAAGTGTGCACTGCATGTCGGACTGTTGTAACATTGACCCATTTTAATCGTGATACTAACCGGTTGACCCAGTTTTTAATGTCACAGATTCCGCTTAACCCTCGCCCGTAAACGGCGATCTGCCACCTTCGCCCATGCAGGTGCGACCCCCCCCCCCCTTGGCGTTTGAAAACGGAGCGTCGTAGAGCTTAGCGGAAAAGACCAACGGATTGCTCTCGCCGAGATCTCGCGATTAGTGGTATATTTTTTGGTCCTAGGTCAACATTTGGCCTACTTTTGACCGGTCAAAGGTCAAATTTTCGGAAAAATAGACTTTTTTCAACTTTCGGCGGCGATTGCGGCAAAACGGTGGGAGATATCGACTTGAAACCTTCACTATCGTGTTCCTTGATCAATTCTCTATCGTTTGGTATGTATTTCGTTTCCCTAGCTCTAAAAATGGCGCGTTGGGAGCGCCGGAAGTCGGCAAGGTCACAGTCGGCGGCAGAAATTCGAAAAATCAAAATTTAAATTTTTGAAATCTGATTGTATTTTTGGATTTGGGAGGTCCATTTGCTCCCTATAGAAGCTAATATTGCTGCATATTCCCATTGAGGTGACAAGAATTAGCAAAATAGTGGTTCGGGCGCTTTTCAAAAATAGTACCGGACGCTGTTCCTCTTGTGACGTCATAGCTCCGTGACCTGACCTGACTTGGTCAAGTTTCTTATACCATATGATAGCCAATACTTGCCCCAACATGCATGGGAAGTTTCATCACGATCCATCAACCGATCTCCGTACCACCGGCAGGAAACCTCGGGCGTTGGCACTCAGTTTGTGAAAATCCGGCCGGAGGCTGTTCCCTTTGTGACGTCATAACTCCGTGACCTGACATGACCCGGTCAAATTTTTTTTATCAAAAGATGCGCAAGGTTTGCCCCATAAGGTACCCAAAATTTGGCGGCGCTGCGCGCCGCCGTTTTTGCACTATTTCCGAAAAACCTCAGGGGGGGGGGTTGCACCAACCCCCCCCCCTACATGGGCGAGGGTTAAAGAACACACTAAACCGGTAATTTCAGCTCCAACTGCCGAAGCGTCCTCAATTTGGGGACCCCCAAATCTTATCATCTCCCTAAAACGCTCAAATCTTCAAACTTCCCTGAGCAGCCCAAATCGTTAAATCGCCACATCTTTACGCATCTTGTGACTTGTGACTTGTAGACACTTATATATACCCGAATACGAACACCGTCACTAAAGCCCGCATAAACTTACTGGACAACCCCATATGAGCATTCAATTCATAAACACATGAAAACGCACCAGTGTCCAAGCCAATGCTCACCACCAGATCTTACACAATACACATCCCATCCAGCCCTTCCCTGTCGGACGCCATCACTCCCTCCCCCTCCTCCCCCCCCCCCCTACACACAAACACGCTCCTCCAGTCCACACACCCTCTCTTACACACCTACCTGCACATAGTCAACCTCCGGGTGCTTCTGCATGAACACGAACAGAACGTCAGTCATGCAGCGGCACACGTGCTCGTCCCGGAAGAGGGCCACGTCGGGCATGGTGCGCACCACGTCCTGTTCAATCACCCGGCGCAGGTCGGCGTGCTCGAACAGACGGTGCCACGGACTCTGAACGAGAGATGGAAGGGGTGGTGAGAAAGATGTGGGGTGGAGGGGAATGCGAAAGACGGCAGTCATCGCGGGGGGGGGGGGGGGGGGCACGTGGAAGGCAGCGGTAAACACCGGTGCGAAGGACTTTAGCGAGCGTCATTTGAGCGAGCGTCATTTGAGAAAACCATTTCCTGCGACTGTCATTACAGCGAGACATCTTTGCTTGACATTGTATGGTAAACTTATCGACATTAAAGGGACCCTCCCACCTTCAACAAAGTTTATGAATTGGCATGAAAGTGATGTCGCTCGGTTCAGAAAGAGCGAAAACGAATATCTACCAAATTTCACCGAAAAATATTCACCGGTTTTCAAGATATTAGACTTTTACTTTTGTTTACTTTTTTGGGATCTCTGCTGTTTCTAGCGACTTTATTTTAGAAGTGCGGCGTTTGCGGCAGATGTTGCGCGCAAATAGCATATACCACCGCGTGCTACAAAACGTTTTAGTCAAACATTTAAAAATCGTTAGATATTTGCGCTTACGTCACACATTCAGAGGGGTATTCCTAAGCATTAGCCCCTCTGAATCAAAATGCTGCAATTTTGAAATTCAATATTTCCGATTTAAGGCATTTCTCGATGTTGTGAGTGCCGAAACCGGTAATTGTGAGCCAGGGACCCCATTTTGGCTATCTCAACTCAAATCTAATGTTAAGGTCGGAGGGTCCCTTTAACAAAACTGAAATAATGTAATTCCAGTATCCCAAGCCCCATCAGTCTCCCCACACAGACAGAATCGCACTCCAAGTCACCTGTTCGTCATGTGAAAGCGGATTGTTCACCTCACACCTGATCCGCGTGTCATTCACATCCGTGTAATCACTGTAGGTGGTCTTGGCCAGGCTGTAGAGGCGTCGGTGCTCCTTGGTGAGCAGCTCCCAGCTGGCGGGGTCGACCGGCAGCACCTGCAGGAAGAGGCGCCAGGCCAGCGAGCGCAGGCCGCAGCCGGCCAGCTGTCGCAGCAGCGCCTGCTCGTGCAGCGCGCCGAACGACCCGGCGCCGCCCGAAAAGTACCGCTCAAACTCCAGACTGGGGGCGGAGGAGGGGGATGGTCGGTGATGGCCTGAATAGCGTGTCAGTGCCGCCCAATCGGTCCTCATAAGACTCCAAGTGTGGTAGAAAAACTGAGTGAGGTTGATTGAAAACATTCCTACCAAATGATGTACACAGGGATGTCACAATCCACCCTGCATTTTCCACTATCAATTTTGTTTTTGAATCACTTTCAGCTACAGAGGAGGAGGATAGACAATAGGCATGTATCAATCGGATGGCCTAAACATTTGCACTTCTTGGAATATAAAAAGGCAGATTTCAGTCAGGAATATTTCAGCAGTAACAAATACTTAACTGGTGGATGATTTACTGATCTATGAAAAGCTACCCTCCCTTCAGACAGTTCGGATTAGAAAAGAACTACGTAAACCTGGAGGTTTAAAAAAAAAGGACAGAACAAAGTGTTAGTTGAGCAGAAAATGTGAAAACTGAAGAATGGCTATTAACACCAACAATTCAGAATGTTTCTAATATAGTAGAACAATTAATTTCAAAGTGAGCCAAGCAGTAGCCCAAACTACAAAAAGTCATATCAAGAATTATCCCCACCCTGCCTGCTGCCAGCTCCCTAGACTTCCCAAATTATACAGCCAATGAGCAGCAGGAGACAAATAGATCTTACAGATATTTTGTAGAAGCATCTCTTGCCCAAGCAGGAGATGCCTGTCTTCTTTGTCCTGGCTCTTCTTGCCTTGCTGCCATGTTCTTTTCAATCAGCTAAACCTGAAAAATAAAGTTACTCATTTTCATTAGGCACTTGTAACTTTTGTAACATTAATTGTAACATTTGCAATATTTTCATCTGTAAGCTTACAAAACAGTTGTGTTAAAGGGACCATCCCACCTTAACATTAGTTTTGAGTTGAGATAGCCAAGTTTGCGGCCAGGCTCAGAAACCACCATTTATCCTGGTCGCAACCCCCGCAGCTTTATGGTGTTCAAGAAATTTCTTCCCTTTACTTGCAGGGTGGGACCACTTAGTCCCTATCTCTTAACCATTAGCGGTTTGTTGATGACGTCAGCAGTCATTTCAACGCCCGCCATTCCTTGAACCCGAGTTTTGCTGACCTTGAGCTCCCTTTTATATCAACGTGAAATCCGTCTTCGGCGCTGAGAAAGCCTATTGCTTTTCATGTTAATTTGAATATTAGAAGATACCCACCACTGGAACTTGGACTGATATTATACCAAGGCCGAAGATGATCAAGCTGCCTGCTATATCTGGAGCTTGGTGTTCAACTTCAACATGGAATGAAAAGCAAAATATCAAAGCAAACTGGATATGGTACTGCAAGTTTAAGTCCAAAGAAATTTGAAGAGCTGACAATTGACATTAATTCTTTTCCCGCAAGGTTTCCATAGCAGATCACACCATGAAGAAATATTTTTGATGTTAACAGTTGAAAGGGGATTGATCTTCCAGTTTTGACGAAAGACGCTGCTGACTGTCCTTGGAAAAGGATGTCGGCATGAGGTGCAATTGTGCTTGTGAAGTGGTTATAACTGGTCTTTTCACAGTGTTAAATTAAATGTGCCATTGCAGCCAAGTGTGTTATCATGTAAGGTAAAATCAAAACTACAATGTTGGTTTTACGAGCATTGAGAAGGCTGGTAGGTAATGCCTGCCTGTGCTCGTAAATCATGCTGCCAAAGTATTCTAAATTAATTTTATCATACACTTTTGTTGTCCAGAATGGTTGCACTATTGTTTGGTATCATATTATTCCATGTACATATGGTAGTGTTAAGTCCGACCAACATGTTACCAGATTTGAAGCTGTTACGTTACCTAAGTACCTACCTGTTTTTTTTACTGGCGTGGTGAATGTCACCTGGATTTTGTTTTGAGGTGCAGACCTAGTAACTCTGACTACATGGGTTTGAAGCTATTATCTATTCTGTTTTTACTGGCCTGGTGAATGGCGACTGATGTTGTCCGTGGATGGCACTGAAACAAATTCTGAGTGTCAACTGCCATGTACAGTGTTTTAATACAATGCTGAGGGCTGAAAGTTGTCTTGTTTAGAGTGGTGAAAGTTCAGGATATGCCAGCCACCATGGTGGGTCAGAGTTAATGTGTTGCAGTCAGTTCGGCTTCGGCAAGCACACGGATGGGCATACGCATCAAGACCTGCTCTGCCATACTTTCAGCCAATTTTACCTAGGCAAGTCTTTTCTTTTTTTCTGCCAAAAGCTATGACATTGTGAATTTCAGTGCTGTGGCCTGTGTGTAGCTTTCAGGAAAGCAATTCTAAATAAAGCTCTGATAAAGTGCATGAAATCAGCAATGCAGCCCTCTATTACATTTTCTACAACATCTTGCTTGTTCCTTGCATGGAGAGAAAAATGCAATTATGAATTCGTTTATTCACATAATTTGACAAGCATGCAGTTACCTGCTACTATCACTGCACAAAACAGAGCAGAAAACATCAGTTGATCAAACACAAGACACAACAGAAGTTTACAACATAGGCCTGCCGAACCTGCTTCCTCCCACCACAGTTGATGCCATTTCCTAGCCTGGCTTGATGTGAGCACTGAATAGCTGCTTTGTCTAATTACAGCTCACTACCATTCAACTTAAACTACTCTCTTTAAAGTAAGAGTGAGAGCGTTCAGTGTTCATAGCAGCTCGACAGACGACAGACAACAAACATCTTGACAAACCAACCAGTATTTGATTTGGCTAATGATTTATGTGCCTGTTGTATCATGGCCAAACTACTTTAACAGCAATAATCCCTGTTTCATCTTGATCTTGCTTTTAATTCCATTTGAACTCAGATCTTGAAACAATCATCTGAAGTGATATCAGATACTGGCTTCTGTTTCTCTTGAAAGCAAGTTAAAACAACAATGATAAACTAAGGCAGGAGATGTGAGTTGTGGCAGTAGATTTTTGATTCAACATATGTCAACCTTATATTGCTTGAGACCTCTGTGACAGACAAACAAATATTTATAGTTTTTTGATAGTTTGGATTCTTGGCTTGATTTAGCAGATCAGCTGTGAACCTTGACTTTGAAATCACATAAATGTCATGGTACCCGAACGAATCCTCGCATGACATTTCTTCGTCCGCATTTCTTCGTCTACAAATCTTCGTCGGTGCATTTATTTGTCCATCAATGCTTACTCTTGCATATATTTGCGTTGAAGAAGAAATGCGAGCCGATTTTCATATACCCTGATGCGAGACAAAGTAATGCGATACGAATAAATGCCCTGACGAAGATTTGCAGACGAAGAATTGCGATACGAAAAAATGCCATAAGAAGAATTGTCCTGGAATCCTTTGTTGGCCATCATATATTGACCTTGATAAGATAAACGCATCATTCGCGCAATATTTGTCGCACTTTGATACCAAATTATTGCTTCCAAATGCCGACGTAAAGAAAACCTTTATGTGACGTCATAGAAACAGCGGAATTCCCAAAAAGTAAACAAAAATAAAAGTCTTATATCTCGAAAACGGTTGAATATTTTCCGGTAAAATTTGGTAGATGTTCATTTTCGCTCTTTGTGATTCACGCTACATCACTTTTATGCCAATTCATTAACTTTTTTGAAGGTGGGAGGGTCCCTTTAAAAAACAATGGATTGCAACACTCTATCAAACATAATGCTATAAGGAAAAGGACACAGTTCCAATCAGTGTTCTAGAATAACTTTTAAGCTGAAAGGTCCAGTGGAAACTGCAGACCAAAACAAGCAAAAGGGTTGAACTTTGAGCATGAGAAGTGTGTTTTCTCACCATCATCTTAGGGTTAACTTGTAATTCAAGGATAAGGATATTGAGGGTTACGCAGAGGAGCAGTACCAAGGCCGTATATTAGGAGGTAAAATCGTCAGGCGGTTTGTTTACATTTGCTCAGCTGACGAAATGACGTCAAAGGTCGTCCACCCTCACGGATCAGGCAGCCGCATGCAGTACAATATGCGGACGTTTTTGGGAATTGCGACGACTTTAGCGATATTGAACGATTAAATTACGTTATACCAGCTTCTACAAACCGGTTTATGCTAATGTGGTGCCACAAAAACCAGTGTGGAAGGAGTTTATATTGATGCATTATCGGCTGGAAAAACACCATAACTTCGACCGTAGCCGACTGAGCCAACATTGACCTATGCTTGGTTATGGGTCAGCATAGTTGCCAGAATGTCATAAGTTACGCGGATTTGAACAACTATAGCATTAGACGTACGATTACGAGGTTTCGCTCACAACAGTTAGGTATACCGAGCAGAGCATATACCCGGCCGGGGCACCAGCGCCGAAACTGAAGCGTGAACGGTGGCCTGCGACAGGAACGCATATGGCTGCCAGTGATACGGTATGTGGTGGCGCATCGGATGCAGCCCTGCCACTTTCGGTCCAGAACTGGCTGCCATTCGTTGATCCCAGTCCAGCTGCCTCAATCGGTCCCGGTTTAGACGCCTTTGCCGGCCCCGGTTCAGACGTCTGTCTTTCCCGGTCCGGAAGTCTCAACTCAAACTTTATTGAACAATCTTATCGACATTATCTTGGTAGAAAACACAAAACAGTAAGACAGAACAAACGAGCAAACTCAAGCAGCACTTCAAAATGACGATAGGTACACACAAACATCAGCGTGTTTCAGCAGCATCCACGCGTCGCTCCGCGCTGTCTCACAGCACCCCACGGGGTCAAACCACTACGTGGGTTCAACACGCTGGCCACAAAACATGGGTTACCAGCGACCAACACAAAACTCTAAGAGCAGGGGTCCATCCAACCTAATTTACAAACACAGCAGCCCAGTCAATGGCCATTAGCGCCAACCCCGCCGGCGGCAGCAGGAGCGACAGGCAGGGACAGCGCATGCAACTCGATCGCAAAACCATTCTTCTGGCATTGCTCTGCGTCTATAAAGGAGAATATCCCGCCCTCATCTACCCTTCAGGACCTGGCCGGGAACACTAACGAGACGCGGACATTACCCACTCAGCTGAGCAGTGAGCACCCTTTCGACCGGTCCGGGGCCCAGCTCTCGCCACATGACTGAAGGCTACTGCTAGGGTGCTGTCCTGTCCTGCTGTTCTTTTGCTGTCCTCCATCAGTCGGCTCCGAACCAACAGCCTCGCTGCCGCGCAAGGGTTCCGGACAAGTTCCGGAGAAGAAGCTGCGCTGAGACGATCTGGAACCATCAGCCGGGCTGTGAGTCCCCACCGCCATGTTGTTGCTGGGACCGGGGCGGTGCAACCACACTCGCGTCCTGACTGCGCTTATGTGCTTCTCTCCTCGGAGCAGAGTCCGGCAGCGCAACCTGACTGACCTGAGCACGCCCCGCGCGAGAAGGCGTCTGGCGTGGCGCGCCGGCCTCGACCATCTGTCACACCGCCTCGGGATTCATGATCCAGATCCGATCGAATCGTCAGATTAAAATGTCTCTTGTATGGTAAACACAGATAAAAATCCCTCCTTTTTGAGTCGCAGAAGGCCAGGGAGACTTGACAGTCTACGGAGGTCGACGACTGAGAAACGCTCCAGCAGCCGCAGTTGGTCAGCTGCTCAGCAACACTCTCCGCCAGCGAGACTGAAAACAAAAACCTTCCATGAAATGCAAATTAAGGATGGCTGAAGGATGCATAATACCCAGTAAAACGAATAACTATTCAGTAAACAAAAAATGTCACTTCCTTGCTTGGAAAATTGTATTTTAGTCACTAAATGCCATGGCAAAGGAGCTGCCTAAATCGATGAATGTCAGCAACTCGCCAAACAACCTGTGTAAAACAGTTTGTCATTGTATGTGACTCGGTAGACACAACCTTTTGACCTTGCCTGCACTAAATATGATAGCAAATTAGCCATGCTCCATTGTCATTTTCCCCTTTGAATTAGGTAATTGTTTTTGGGAGCTGCCACAACTGCACAGATAGGCACATTAACATTGCTCACACACACAGATTCACTTACTTGTGAGTTGCTGGGTGATGTGTCGTGCCTTGGTCACCAGTCACAGAATAACTGAAGCCTCCTGGAAAAGCGCTGTAGCTGTTGGCGACTGGCGTCACCACAGCTGGTCGATGGGACACTGTAAACAAGATGTGACTTTAAACGCTGCTCCAGGTACTTTGGTCATGATCTGTCATAACATAGTTAACATTTCTTCTAATCAAACTAGGGCCTAGGGGAGTTGGAGTGATACTCCTCCATCATACCAATGCGCTAACAAGGATTGAAGAAAACACATGAGCCCTAAAACCAATAAAAAAATGAACACAAAACATACTTACTCATTCATAATTACAATTTTTTAATTTGAAAGGAATCCTGTTCACCTAAAAATATTCAGCAAACCACTCACCAATTGCCTGACACCATAGTGCACACAGAAGTTTGAGGCCTGTGTAGGCTGTGCAATATTATATGTGTAGATCAAGATGAAGTACAGTGAGACGTGAGTCAGTAGGTTTTAAGTTGTAGGTTGGTAGATTGTAGGCTTTAAATTGTAGGTTTTCGGTTAGTAGGTTGTAAGTTTGTAGATTGTAGGTTGGCAAGTTGAAAGTTTTTGGTTAGTAGGTAAGGTTAGGTCAGGTTAGATTTTTTATCTTCACTGTACTTCATCTTCACATTTACCGGCTGTGCGGACTGCAGGCCTGTTGGACCGGATCTTTGTAATGCAAAGCACTCGCTCATTCTAAAAGTACTGGTTGTCAAAGACAGAAGAGAAGCGGATGGCTCCCCCGTGGATGTCCAGATACTTATCAATTATGGCAGCTTACATGAGTTACAGAAGCAATTGCAGCTTCCTTTGTCCGTCTAGGCTTTAGACAATTGACCACACTTAAAACAAACAAACTACAAACATGCAATTTTGTTTGGTATTGGAATACATACCAATATTTCTACATTTACAAAAGTATATGATAATTCTTATTAACGTTACTTGCTGGTAATAATCAGAAAAAAAAACTCAGAAATGCCAGACAGAAAAGTATCAAATAACAACTAACAATTGATATCAATTGAAATACACAAATTTGCAAGCAGAAGATTGTAACACGCGCGCAATAAATGTAAAAAATAACAAAATTTCTGCTTCAATTCCTTAAACCACTGTCATAAATCGTAATTCCCAACTAATTCACTGCTACGCTAGAAATCAAAGACTACAAGTTTTTAGGTATTGTAACCTTTACAACATGTAGAAAATGTCTTATTAAACCATTTGAGACCAAAAACGTTCCACTTCATCCCGTTTTAGTTGAGAAAACAGCAAAGAAAGTGGACGACCTTTGACGTCATTTACCTTCTGATTGGCCCAAAAAGCCTTCCCTATGGCGCAACATAGAAACGATGACCCCCTGAGCAGTACGTATTAGCACTGAAAGCATGTCTGTGAGTGTGAGGCTGTAATACATCACCTCATTTATTATCTTTTTAGCTTAAGAATAACATGAATTTATGGTGCTAATTTCAAAAAGGAAAAAGAGGGATATCTATCCTGACTGGATGCACTTTGCAGTTTGCATCAGACTTTCTCATTACATGGCTTAGGTTTATATCATATCTGTAAGAATCTTGGTTTAAGCTTGGCTTAGGTCAGGACTAGAGGCTGAGGTTGCTACGCCTCAGCACCCCAGGGCCCGATTCAGCTTACTTCAGCTCAAACAAAGGCTCAATAATAGTAAGCAAAGGCCACAGATTGTGGCGAAGAATATTTTGAAGAATAAACTTAAATTGACAAAATCTCTCGCAAATTCCCACGGTCAACACCACACTGACTCAACTCGTGTAAAAAAAAAAACATCCGCCGCCCCCAGATGAAATTGAATGACATAATGTATCAGCTGCGCCATTCTCGGCATAGTTTGGAAGCAAATGCTAGGCTGCCATATACACCTAAGGGGATACGAAAAATTTCGGTATTAGTAAAGTAATCTAAGTTTCATGCATTTCATTGATCACAGATGCATTTAGGCCAGGTCAGGTTAGTTCAACCAGTAGGGGCCCTGCCGGGTATTCGTAACAAGTCAACCGCTTCTGAGTTCTACAAGCTTCGTAACATGTTACGAAGGTACAAAACTACTTCGTAAATGTTCAGATGATTGCTAAATTCGAATTCAACTAAAAAAAAAACGAGCCTAGAAACATGTAAAACTCGAAAAAGTGAACCGAGGTCATCAAAGGTCAATGACCTGGCCTGACCTTCAGATGACCTTTACACCCACCCTAATGCATGGGACCAACATCATATCACATGTTTGAACGTTTGGAACCACGAAAAACTGCAAACTCGCGGCTAATACGGGCCGACATACCTACGCCGAATCGCGATTCCGGCCAAACATGGTCTCGAGAAATGGGTCACAGGTCAAAGGTCATCTGAGTCAGGGTCATGAAATATTCAGGGTAGGTGCAAAATTGATTATCTCGAGGGTGGGGCGCTCCACGACAAATCGACAAATAAATAATTAAATTTGCACCCTCATATTTTATTTTTCGTTGAAAACTGGTGTAAGGGGTTCTGATGGGCGGGGAAGCCAGCTGTGGCAAGGATTTTTTTCTTCGAACAACGGTTTCCGAGATATAGCCTCGGGCAATTCCAGCAGGTCGCGCTGCAGCCCTATGTTTGGCGGCCTATAACTCAGAAACTATTGGTTTTCTACGATAAAAACTTGATATGGTTCAACTCGCAATCAACCAACAAACATTTTGGCTATCTCGGATTTTCAATTTTTGAAATATTTGATCACGTGACCTTTTGACCTATTTTTCGAAGAGTGACCTTGATATTTTCCCCACTGAAAGTTGCAATTTTGTCTGATGACGATTAAAGCCTTATCAATTGTCATTCATATGCGAAAATAAAAAAGTGGATATCGCCCTGCGTTGACCTCAGGTCAGGTCATTTTTATGACCTGTCCATTATTACGAGCGGGAGCGACAGCGAGATCTCGAGAATAAAGCAAGATAGCGACAAGCGGTAAACGGTGCAGGGTACAAATGGATAAGGTCTATAATTTTTACTGAAGTCATTTTCAGGTCAGGTCAAAGATAACGTCACAGGAGCAAAAAGGAAGTCAAAATTGCGGCACTACATATACATGAAGTTTTTCTAGAATAACTTTCAAGGTATCACAGCTAGGAACAAACTAATAGTACCATCGTGATCCTCTCGTCGATCCGCATCGAAATATATGTATGTAGACCTCGAAAGGTCGAAAGGTCAAAAGTTGACCCTAGGTCACGTGACGAGCGGGAGCGACAGCGAGATCTCGAGAATAAAGCAAGATAGCGACAAGCGGTAAACGGTGCAGGGTACACACGGACAAGGTCTATAATTTTTATTGATGTCATTATCAGGTCAGGTCAAAGATGACGTCACAGGAGCAAAAAGGAAGTCAGAATTGCGGCACTACATATATGAAGTTTTTCTCGAATAACTTTCAAGGTATCCCAGCTAGGAACAAACTAATAGCACCATCGTGATCCTCTCGTCGATCCGCATCGAAACATATGTATGTTGACCTCGAAAGGTCGAAAGGTCAAAAGTTGACCTTAGGTCACGTGACCTAGTCTCACCCGAAATTTTCAGGAAATGTGCCCAATTTAGTTTTAGGAAAAGTCAGAAAATTTCAGCATCGTAGCTTCAGCGGTTTCGGAGATATTCCCGAAAAACCTGAGGGGTGGATAAAAACAACCCCCCCCCCCCCTGCCACTAATAGGGTTAAACCGCGAGTACACACAAAAAGTACACATTTCGACGCGCCTGAGCAAGTCAAACACGATGCTGTCAAAATCGCGGCTCTGTGACCATTTTTTACGAAGTTATTCGCTAAAAACCGAGCCCGTACCTTGGGCCACTTGACCTGACCTCAGAGGTCACCGGTTGACCTGAGACCTTAAACTCGGGTAGGTACCAATCACTGCGTCTTGTAACGGCGCACACGCTCTTTTTTCGCGACGCTCTAGCCTCTAGCTCTATTAGGGGCGAAACGGCGAGGGGTTCGTACCCCCCCCCCCCCCCGTCCGGCGCGTACCTTTATAGAAAACCAATAGTTCCGGCGATGGTTGGTACACCGTGCAATATATATATATATATATATATATATATATATATATATATATATATATATATATATATATATATATATATATATATATATATATATATATATATATATATATATATATATATATATATATATATATATATATATATATATATATATATGTTACGGCCCGTTTGAAAACCCGGTCCGTATTAATACTGCCCGGCCCGTATTAATACTGACCGGAGGCCTGGCCCGTATTAATACGGCCCCCGGTCAGCATTAATGCGGACTGCCTCGCGGTCGGCATTAATACGGGCCGGGCAGTATTAATACAGGCCACTTTTTTCCTCGCGGCCATATCAAGACTTGGGCCATATCAAAACTAGCCAACTACAGTCCTATTTCTGTTACGGACTAACTACAGTCCTGTAATTAGTCCTATTTCATGTCTTGGCAAATGCTCCGTAGGCCTGCAGTGACCCAAGGTCACCCCCTGAGGTGACCTTGGGTGAGGTGTTAGACCTGCTCATATTCTCCCAGGCAACATCTAGCCCTCGCCGGCCGAGGGGGGGGGGGGCGGGTGCCCCCCCCCCATAGGGTTTTTTCGCGATAGCTCCAAACACGCTGGCGATAGAGAGCCGAAACTTAGCATACCTGACCTTTGATTCAAGCCAGATCTTTTGACACCAACTGCATTTTTGGGTCAGGTCAGGTCACTGACCTATGACGTCATAAGTGAACCTCTGCACGGTCTTCAGATGTCGCAACTTCGCAACGCCCTCACTGCCAGAGGAGAAGTCACAGGGAAATGAAACTTGCAGGATCTAGTATCCATTATGAGTCTCACAATTTGTATATCTCGGATTTTTCCTAAAGGTCATATGAGGTCAGGTCATTTTCGTGACCTCACCATTATAAGTCAATGGGGAAAAATTCAAACTGCTATTCTGGCGCCGGGAACGATCTCCAACTATCTCAAGCACACAGAATCGTGATTTGATGCACTCCTTGCAAGGTTAGATGCGTCACCTTTGCAATGTTGACCTTGCGTGACGTCATTTATGACGTCATCAAGGTCATATTAGTTTTTCGCCAATAACTCTTGATCAAATTGAGCTAGCGAGTCGGGAAAGCCACCAATGGACTCAGGAAGACCTGCCGAATCGAATGATATGCGAAATGACCTCTTTCGACCAGCTTCGTGACCTGGGGTGCTGACCTGACTTGACCTGAGGTCAACACCCTAAGTTGACCTGACCCGAACAAAAAGTATATCATTCGACGCGCCTGAGCGAGGCAAACACGATGCTGCCAAAATCGTGGCTCTGCGACCGTTTTTTGCGAAGTTATTAACCAAAAACTGAACCGTACCTTGGGGCACTTGACCTGACCTCAGAGGTCACCGGTTGACCTAGGACCTTAAAATCGGGTACCAATCTCTGTGTCTCGTAACGGCGCACACGCTCGTTTTTTCTGCGACGCGCTAGCTCCACCAGGGGCGAAACAGCGAGCGGGGGGTGGGTCGTACCCGCCCCCCTTCCCCTCGGCCGGTGCGTATGCAGAAAACCAATAGGTCCGGCGAGGGCTAGATGAATACCGCTAGTTGTCTTTATGGAATCATGAAATGTCTTCGTTTGTTTTCTCTACATGATATTTTGAACTGTTTTGATCATGTATAATAACATCTATTTTATCGAGCACGCTTTGTTCTATATCATTCGCGAGCATTAGTTACAACTGCTTGTCCTATTCGCAGCCTATCGATCTTGATTCGCTAGACTCGGGGTACTAGTTCCGGAATTGTATGGAATGGTTGTGGATTCGAGGCGTGACTGGCGAATGTTCACATAGGGCGTTCAACTTTTATCAGTAAGTCACCATCAATATGGACATGCATTCATAGCTAATGTAATTAACCCGCGCACCGACGGGGGTCTGCGCCAACTTCGCACCGACGGGGGGGGGGCGGATGACCGCCCCCCTGAGATCTCGAGAACGAAGCATGATAGCGACAAGCGGTAAACGGCATCGGATACGCACGGACAAGGTCTACAATTTTTACAAAGGTCATTTTCAGGTCAGGTCAAAGCTGACGTCACAGGGGTCGAAAAAGTCAAAATGGCGGCGCTAGATATGGAGAGAGTTTTTCTCGAATAACTTTCGAATTAGTCAAGATAGGAACAAACTAAGGGTATAATCGTGATCCTCTCGTCAATCCGCATCGAATGATATATATGTTGACCTCGAAAGGTCAAGGTCAAAGGTTGACCTCAGGTCACGTGACCTCGAGGTCATCATGTATGTCATTCGATGCGTCTTGACGAGCTGAACACAATGAGACCATCCGCGCGGCTGTATCTTGTTCCTATACGGAGTTATTGGCAAAAAAAACCTTTGGTGACCTTTGATGACGTCACATGACCTTACAGCTGCCCAACAGCAAAACAGACCTCAAGGTAGTGAAGGTTGATCGTATATGAAGTCATGTATGGTATATGGGGCCATTCCGACCCGTTTTAGTGGTAAAAACAGGGAGTTGATTTTTCCCCCATTGACTTATAATGGGGAGGTCGCGAAATTGACCTGACCTTAGGTCACCGACATCAAAATTCCGAGACATACAAATTGTAGCTACTAATGACCTAATAACATCCTGCGACTTTCAAAGGCCTCCGACATCTACTGTAGCTCTGGCACGGTGACAAAGTTGCAAAAAAGTGACTTGAGGTTGGGTCATTCAAAGTGACCT